AAATTGGATCTGGGTGACCTGAATGTAATCTTAAGAAGGTATGTTGGAGATGTGGTTGTAACTGAGAAAGCTTAAGTCTAATTAATTTTATTCCACTTGACTTAAAGAAAGCACGTGAAACAAGGGGATCTGAGGACATCTGTCATATAGACAAGGACATGGATTTAACAGTGTCTATCCGGTCCTGTCCAGAGTCTGCAGTCTGGTGCACAAAAGCCCTGCAGTGACTAGAGAGGTTTACTCTTGTGGAAGAAATAGAGAATTTGCTCCTCTAATATCCAAATGAGAGATTAGCCCACTCTTTCAGCTGCAATTTGATGTACAGACAACCTCCTAATTAATAATTAGTCTTCTGAATCACTTTTACTGTATCCTTCTATTGCAAATTAAGAAATGATATTCTGGGCCGGGCATGGTGGCTCACACCTGTAATCCCAGCACTCTGGGAGGCCAAGGTGGGAAGATTGCCTGAGCTCAGGAGTTCGAGACTAACTTGAGCAAGAGCGAGACCCCATCTCTTCTAAAAATAGAAAAATTAGCTGGGCGTGGTGGCACCTGCCTGTATTCCCTACCACTCAGGAGGCTGAGGCAGGAGGATCACTTAAGCCCAGGAGTTTGAGGTTGCTGTGAGCTATGATCTATAATCACACCACTGCACTCTACCCAGGGCAACAGAGTAAGACTCTGTTTCAAATTTTAGAAAAAGATTTAATGGTTTCTGCAGCTGTTTGCTTGTTTGTTTAATGCGTTTGGTCCCATGAATCTGATTCATTGACAAAATTGAGTTTTAGGCTATGGAAAGTTGAGGACCAGACTACAGAACTAGGTGTCACCCTCCAACACATTGCCAGAGCCAGCAGCCTCTGTCAGATTGAACATATTTATGTCACTGTATCCCTCAATCTGCAACACACCCAATGTAGGAACCAGTTCTCCAGTGTCACTAACGGTCTCTTCTTTGGATGTCCCCAGGGGGTGTCATCGCCATAATCCCTCAAAGTCGGCGGTTTTCTTGTTTGTAAGAATATTCTTTCTTAAGTTGAAATTAAACTGCTCACTTCACAGCTCCTCCCTACAGGTACTTTCACAATATATATAAGAAATGTTTTTGTGTGCTTAGGCTATCCTCATTTCCCCCAGAAGAACCTGAACATGGTGGAGTCCAGCCTTCCTCCCACCCTCCTGTTCTCCTCCTAGCTCTCCCGTGCCTTCTGTGAAAACATGAGCCCCGCCCCACCCCCAGTCTGGTCATTCCACTAGCACTATTATTTTTGAGACATAAGTTATTAGTACAGCAAAGGTTTATTTCTTTTAGCAGCTGCATCAGTCTGTTGGCTGGAATGCTGCAGATAAAACTCCTTCATTTCAATCCATTTCCCCTTCCTCTTGGGTTTGAGGCTGTTGAAACGAGATATACCTGATTAAGGTTGTGGGTTTACTCTGGTAAACTTATTTTCCCCTTTGGTGAGTGCTGCTTCTGTTCAGTCCTAGGGGGAGGGATCCTCAGCTTAGACCGGCAGGCAGTGCTGTCCCAAGGATTCAGACCTAAGTAGTGAGTGAGTTTATTTTTCTTAGAAAGAAAAAGAGAAAAGTTCTACCTTTCTCAAAGAGATGAGCCATCACTAGAGAGTTGGGACGGTGTTTTACTCATCTGTCCCCTAGCACCCCACAGGTAAAAGGTACTCAGTATGGACTCCATGAATCTGGTCCACTGAATGCCAGTTCCAATTAAGAGACATACAAAATGAGAGTCCGAGGAGAAGGAGGAGAGAGAGAGAGAATGAGAGAGAAAGGAAGGGAAAAGATAAACTATTTTGTGGAAGGCTTTTCCCCCTTCCGGTTCTAGAATATAAATGTTGTATATATTTACCAAACCTAGGACGTAGTGACTTGATCTCTTTAGGAATTGCCTGACACATTCTGGGACACATTTTCTGTCATCTGGAATCTTCTCCCTTCCCCAAGCCCAAGCTGTCTTAGGCACTAATTCTCCTATTTGCTGTTGACTTAATCTCGAAAAAAGTTCCCATCCCTCGTTCACCCCACCCTGTCCCTCAGCCCCTCAACACCCTTATTCCCTCCACTTGTCACCCCACCCTCTGCTCCCCCCAGGTTTAAAGTTTAGGCTGTGATGTTACCCTTGCCCGCAGATCACAGCACACACATTCCGGGGACAACTTTGGGAGGCCATGTGCTCGTGCCCCTTAGGAAGAGGGAGAAATCCCTGCAGCTCGGTTTTGTCCCAATGGTCTGTTCAGTGAGTGATTCCCGTTTCCCCAAAGGCTGCCCCTCATTAGCATGAACGGGGGTGGGGGTGTGGAGAAGGGGTGGGGGGAGAGAAAGCGAGCAAAAGCCCAGGCTCAGTTTTAGAGCCTGGGAACCCTGTCTACAAAAATGACAGCTAGAGCTTTCTGGCTTCTCTGTTTGATCGTGGGCTCGTCCCCCGAAGCCCCAGTGGCGGAGAGGAAAGGTAAGATCGATGAAATGCAGAGCCCTGGAAGAGGAGCTGGGGTCTGGGGGGAGACCTGGGGGAGAGGGCGCGATGAAGGGCGGGACGAGGAAGGGGTCACAGCTTGCACGAGAGGACACTCCGGGTCTGTGTTCGTGTTAGAAAGAGCAAATCGTGTCCCCAAGATTTTGCGTCTCTTGGCAGCCTTTTCGGAAAGACGCCAGTTCAGCTACTGAAATGATCCCGAGCGAGCCGGGCAGGCTGGAGAAAACTTTGCATGTTAAGTAGTTGCTCCATCACAGAGGAGGGAAAGTGTCAAAAGGGGTCGCGGCGCGCCTTTCGGGAGCCGTGCCGGGCCGGGTTCGCGGGGCGCTGTGCGGTCCGCCCCGCTCGGGGGCTGCGCGGGGGCGCCGGGCACGGCTGGGGGAGGACGGCTCCAGCGAACGGCCTGGGACACCTGTGCCAGGTCTGTCTTTCACACACACACACGCTTCATGCATGGAATAAAATGAGGCTATGGAGGCGATGGAGAAATTAGGGGTCCTCTGGGGGATGGTGTTTTTGTTTTGCTTTCATGTGGCTGTTCCGTTCCCTTCCCTATCTCTGGGAAAAACAGCTTCCGCACCTCACAGGGCAATTTACTTTGGGTTATTTTTCCACATGGAAATTGAATGACTTCAGTGGCATTTAACCCAAATATCAGACAATCTTTCCCATGACAACAGATGGTGATATCAATGGGGAAGCAGTTGTGAGGTCAACAGTTGACAGCCAGGAATTGGATGTCCACCAGAACTTTATTCAGTTGTGTATGGCACAACCGCTTAGCATAATGAGTCAGAATCAACCTCTCTGCAAAAACATGAACCCTAACCAGCTATTATTGCTGGGGGAAAGCTGATTTTAAAGGAGATTATCGATTTGGCAAGATAAGTCACTTTAAATGAAGTGTTGCCAGAGCTGCAAATGGGCAGACCGAGCTCTTTAATGCAAGGGGAGGGAAAAATAGAGACAAGTTTTTGAGCTCTTGCGCCTGTTTGGAGGGCACTGGGACCCAGGCAGGCGGGGAGGTGATATTGTGTAACTGGGCATGGAAAGTTGCCCAGCTTTCAAGCTGGCTGAAGTTTTGCTCACCAACCTGTCTGCAGAGCTGGGGAAAATCATTAATAATTTCAAAATTTGTTTTCATGCCATGCCACTTAGGAGTTTTTTTCTCTCCTCCATCTAATGGGGGGAAAAAATGTAAGCGATGTGTGCTTTGATAGCTAACCAGCCGGCTGTGCCTCCCAGCCAAGCTTTAAAAACCTTTCTTAGCTGTGATTTACCAGTAAGTGGTGTCCAAGAAGCCAGATAAAAAATCCACTCACAAATACTAGGTTCTGCAGAGACCAAGATGACAGTGTAAACACGGATGGGAAAACCAAATAGTTCTGTTGTCAGGGGCGCTTAAACAATTAGGAGAACCTGTAATATGAGACCTTTCCCCCTGGGGTTTGCTCTTGGTACTTTCTCAACAAACTGTAAATAGCTAAAAGGCGGATGTTTATACATACATACATACATACATATATGTTAAAGGAAGGACAAAAAGTTTGTTATTCAACCAATGTCAGAAATGTTTAGTCTTAGCATAAACTGGGGGTTGTCATTATAAAAGCTACAAATTTGAAAAGATTCCTGAATAAAATGTTGCTATCAGGCCTCTGATTCCACATGAGGGGCGCAACATTTTCTCGGTTGGCCCCATTCTTCCTTTGGGGTCTCGGGCGCGAGGCTTAGGAAGGCTGCCCCCCCCCCCCCCCTTCCTCCCCGTCCCGGGCTCCTGGCCGCCCCATCGCGCCCCTTGCAGGTGCTTGTCAAGCCTCCCTTGGCCCCTCTCTCCTCCCAGGCCCTTTCTTCTCCCTCGCCTCCCCCTCCGCGGGCTCCCCAGCCTCCTCCCCTCCTGGCCTCCCTTACCCGCCGTTGCCTCCCGGCCTCCCCCAGCCTCCCTGTCACGGCGTCTCCTCCCCCGACGGCCTCCCCGCCTCTCCCCTTCTCTCCGCAGCCTCGACGCCGCACCACAGAAAGCCGGACCCCAGCGGCCGCCCCAACGCGGAGGAGACGCCCGGCCCCCGGGCACAGCCGGTCCCCGAGGCCACCCCAGCCGCCCGCGCCTGGCCCGACCCGCGCCGCCGGAAGCCCGCGCCGCCCGCCGAGAACCGCGCCGGCTTCGGGAGCCGCGCGCGCGCCCGCGGCGCAGGCCCGGCCTGCGCAGGCCGAGAACCGCGCGTCGCCGCGCGCCTGCCCGCGCAGGAGGACGCCCGCGGCGCGCGCGCGCCCGCCCTGCGCTTCCGCCGCCCGGCCGCCCGCGCGCGCCGCGAGGCCCGCCACCCCAACCGCCGCGCGCCGCCGCCGGCCCGCGCCCGCCGCGCGCCGCGCCGCGCGCCGCGCTCAGCTCGCCGCGGAGGGCCGCAGAGACGGGCGCCGAGCCCTGCGCGCGCGCCTGCAGGGCCGACGTGGACGAGCGCGAGGCGTACTGCGCCAGCGAGTTCGGTGAGCCCGCCCGCCGCCCCGCCCGCCCGCGCCCCGAGCCGCCCGGCCCTCGCGCGGTTCGCTGAACACAAACGCACCGGGAGTGACGGAGGAGGGCGTGTAATGCTGGTCTCCAAACCCTGTCTTTTGAAAGCAGCAGTGAACGGAATCGTGCACGACGTGGATGTGCTGGGCGCGGGGATCCGGCTGGTGACGCTGCTGGTGGACCGCGACGGGCTGTACAAGATGAGCCGTCTCTACATCACTCCGGACGGGTTTTTCTTCCGAGTCCACTTGTTAGCGCTGGACTCCTCCAGTTGCCACAGGCCATGCCCAGACCTTAAACCTGGTATTGAATCTGACCCAAACGGCCGCCTCCGTGTGCTCCCTACCACCATTTTGTAACGCGGAGGCCACAGCCCGCCCCGGGGGCACCCCGGCCTCCCTCTTCTGGGGGTGGGGGGAGGCGGCACGAAAACGGGAATGGGATTTAGACGACAGGTATGGTTTCGGTCACCCTGGATTTAAGCCCCATCAGACCACCTCCCCCAATAGGTGGGAACAGCACTGATTGGCGCAGACTCCCAATAAATATGTGTTGACAAGCGGAGTGAAAGGCGGAACTACGTAGCCAGAGGGAAGAACACGGGAGTCCGCGCCTAGAACCGAGTTTAGAAAGGCTGCTTTTCGGGGGGAGGGGGCAGGGAGTCACTTCTTTCTAGACTGCTCTGGAAAATCCTGCTGACACCTTGTGATTAGGCGCTTTGTTCTGTAATGCTGGCCGTCTGCAGGCTGATTATGTGGTTATCTTGCAAAGGTCACTGCACTGTTGCCACCTGTTGCCTGTAGTTTAAATGTCTCGGGTTTCAACATGCGCAGCAAGGTAATAGATTTGAACTTAGGTACTTGTTAAAGGCCTTAACTTTCCTTCTTGTTTCATGGCATATAAAAGACACTATTACTATTAATACTTTATTTTGGTTATTTTGTTCAGGCAGCAGGTATATTGTGATGGGCCACATCTACCATAAGAGACGGCAGCTCCCTGCAGCTCTGCTCCAGGTCCTGCGAGGGCGCCTCCGTCCAGGGGATGGACTGCTCAGGAGCAGCAGCAGCTACGTGAAAAGGTTTAACCGCAAAAGGGAAGGGCAAGTTCAAGGTGTGATTCACACCCAGTGCACTTGAAACATACCACCTGGCATTTCTGGATTGCAGGAAGACTTGGAATTCAGCAACGAGCCATGAAAGGTCTATCTTCATGTGATGGGGTCTTCCTTTACAAGATGGCCCATAGCTACTTTATGAATGCCTTGCATAGTTCCAACTCTAATCTTGGAGGTGTCACTTTCTTATGTACAAAATGCTTCTTAACGGTATGCTGAGCTCAGTGGCAAGGTTATACAACTGTAGTGCCGGACAGTGACTGACACAGCTCAGACAATGGACCTGTCCAGTAACAGATTATTGCTTCATGTTGTTTTTAAATTATTTTAATTTAATACATTCTGTAGAAATAGTTCACAAAAAACATTTTTTGAATTAAAATATACAACTTTGAATAGCTTATGTTATCAAAGCAAATTTTATATTCAAACCATCACATTTTAAATTCTGTACAGAACAATAAGTACGTTAGTCAAAAGACATTTACATATGAAATGTCGTTTAGATCCAACACTAGGGTCAGAGCCCAGGACAAGTATTAAAATTTTACGTTTAGGCTGGGCTTGGTGGCTCACACTTGTAATCCTAGCACTCTGGGAAGCCAAGGTGGGCGTGATGGTTTGAGCTCAGGAGTTCCAGACCAGCCTGAGCAAGAGCAAGACCCCATCTATACTAAAAAAAATAGAAAGAAATTAGCTGGACAACTAAAAATATATATAGAAAAAATTAGCTGGGCATGGTGGTGCATACCTGTAGTCCCAGCTACTTGGGAGGCTGAAGCAGGAAGATTGCTTGAGCCTAGGAGTTTGAGGTTGCTGTGAGCTAGGCTGATGCCACGGCACTCTAGCCCGGTTGGCAGAGTGAGACTGTCTCAAAAAAAAAGAGTACTAAAGGGCTTAATTCTAGCAAAGGGTTTTTGATGTACCAGATATAGTTTGTATGATATAGTTTATCTTCATGCCTCCCTGCTCCTAATAACTTATGATTTGTGCTGACTGGCAGTTATCCAAGTATCCAAGTGCTGAATATATTCTGGGTGTATCTGATGTCATTTTTGTGTTAAGACCAAGTATCATGTATCATGTTTGTGTTTGTAAAGCAGTAAATCTTGCCTTGAAATCAGATCTTGGATGCACCTGTTTTGTTTTTGTAGCCTCACCGGCTCAAAAGTTTGAGAAAAAGCTTTTCTCAAACTTATCTCCAAAGACTCTGGAACCAATATTCATCAATGACAGCTCAAAGCAAGTGATTTTAAACATTTCCAGTTTGTTAGCAAAGCTAACTAATCACTAGCTAAATTTAGTATTGATTTTATACTTGAGTCCACAAAGATATTGCAGTGTTTTTTGCCCCCCAGAAGATCAGGCTGTACCAGTTAACTCAAGGCACGGTGAATAGAGACACCAATACTGCATGGTTGAAGATGACTGCCTCAAGGAAGACAAAAAGGAATTGCACTAGGCAGAGTAGAACAGCCTATTTGGTCTCCAGGTGATGCACTCAGGTTCACAATGTGTCTTTACTCTGTAATGGCACACAGTAGCACCAAACACCTAAGGACATCAGGATGGGGCACTGGGGAATTCATGGGAAACAAGGAGCAAAAGCATAAGGCATTACAATGTCTGATACTGTTATATTATGTGTTACAAACATGGGAAACAGAAGTAAAATAAAGTTGAGAGGTTCCAACTATTCTGTGGTAAAGTATTACTGAGGGATTTTTAGGGAATTTTCCAAAATGAGTTTGTCCAAACTTGTGAAAAACTTTACTAGAATTGCATTTTGGGAGTCAACTGCATTACTACATCAACTATTAGCAATAAAGTATGCAGCTAATGAAGAGCTTTTGAGTTAGTTTTAAGATAATTATCTCTGGCCAAAAAAAAAAAAAAATTAACTCAGGCATAATATAGTGCCACAGTCACAAAAAACAAAGTCAAATTTTAAATGACAAAAGGCTAAGTGTCAATCTTGACTAGCGTGATGGGGAAATTACAAAATGGCCAAATAGATATACTATTGTTTGGATGGTCAGGTGTACCAGCATAAGGAGAGGAGACATAAATAGCTGTGGTTTAAGAGAAAAAGAAATGACTTTTACATACACACAAGGGTTAGGGTTTGACTTAGGTTGATTAATACTGAGTTTCTGGGATGTTATAGAAACACAAAAGGTGCCAGAGCCTGTGATGTGTATGATACTTGGGAGGTCACATGGTTAATATGTCCACCCTAGCAACCACAGCAAGCCAGTTTCTTAGAAACTTCCTGGATAAAAATTAAGGCTTTCAAGTTCATTTCTGTTTAAGGAAAGCCTAGTGAGGCTCAAGCCAAATGAGCTCGGACAGCTGTGGCGTGTGGATGTGCACAGGAAGCAGGCAGAAAGGAAGACAGGTAACGTCGGTTAGGCGATCAAGGTCAAGGACAATCACCTTTTCAATATTCAGTCAGTACCTTGGCTACAGCCTTTAATTTTACAGAAAATTTTAACGAGCAAATTCATTGTAGTTTCTAATGCTTTTGTCCTATTGATAGATTTTCTTAGCAATGGGTTTGTGCTCCAAAGCTACAGGGCCCTTTGTGTGTATGTGCGCACATAATAGTCCCTCATCAGTAAAATACTCAGTTGCTGTCAAGAGTAATTCAACAGCGTTCTCCTTCAAATCAATAAGAATTTTAAATTAAGCTGTTACTTTAGAATTCAAGGGGAAAAAGTATTGTTTTTCTTTTGGTAGGGAAAGGTCTATAAAACATTTTTTTTTTTTGGTACTAGCTTTCACAACTACCTTTTAAAGATATCACTTGGCACTCTTTATGTTTCTCTTGAAATCAATTTTAAGGCTGACCAAACACATGTATATGCAAACATTTAAAAGCTGACCTGCTGCCTACAATGCATAACTCGATATCAGGACATATTTGAGCAAGCAACATAGATAAAACAGGACTTTATCATTTTAAAATATAGCTTATTTCTTTAGTTGACTTTGGTTCAAACTGGATCAAATGGTGTTATCGTCAAAAAACAGTTTTCAGTATGTATCTTCTAAGTATGTAGAGGTAAGCTCAGACTGTTTCAGAATTAAAACTACTTTCCATCTGGCTCTTCCTCCCCCCCACCCCTGCCCCAGAACTTGTAAGCCATTGCTCTGTCCATGAGATACACCATTTAAAGGACATAAACACTGTAATAACTAACCACGTAGCTCTGTAAGTGTGCAGAGATGTGAAAGGCCACCAAAAACAAAGAAGCAGGAAGTCTGCCTAATAGAAATGAACAGAAATAGGAAAAGAACTTTATTTGCAGATTCTAGGAAGGTAGATTACAAACAACAGCAAATCTCAGTGTCTCTAAATAACACTCCAGGCCACTTTAAATATAAAAAGTAATTAAGTGTTTTACTTTAGAAATATCTCTGAAAGTTCACAATTTCTTAAAACCTACTGCAGGATATGAACTACAGTGCAATCCTGCAGAATTTGGGTAGGAGAAAAAACTAATATTAGAAATACTTTTTCTGAAATGGTCTCAAGGATTGAGAACTTGGCAGATGAAGCATAACAAGCATTGAAAATACTTTTAGCCAAGGAAATCTGATGCAAGTTAAATATATTTACAGGTCCAAAGCTGGGGTAGAAACATCCTACTAGTACCACAATGTGCATTCTACTCCTTAGATTATTGAAAGCAAAATAGCTGTAATATGTATATCTCACTGAATAGCAGAAGCTTGTCAAGAATACTCATAGAAAAGCAGCTTTTGGAATTATGTTTTATAAGAATGCATGTTTCCAAAAATACTTTGAAAGACTAAAGCTCTGTAGTTGATAAAACTATGTCTTTATGTATTTATATGGTGATAGAAATTGTAAAATACTTTATACCATTAATACATGTGAAGGTTAACATCTTTCTGGTCTCAGGATATCCATAAAATTTACCTGTTTTGTACAATTTGGCAATGCCAACAAGCTACAGAAAATATATCAACCAACAAACCATTGTTTCATTAGAAACTGCACAAATCCAATGTCAAAACATTACTTATTTTCTAGGATGAAATTCCTATTAAGTACAAAAGAATTGCTGTTTAGAATTTGCCACAATTTGTTAAAAACATAGCAATCTATTGCCTACAGGTAGGAAAGTTCTTGCCGCAACAAGTTTTAAATGATTAAGCCATATATATTTATATATATGAATAAATAGTACAGAAATACTGTGACATGATGAGATGCAGAATAACTTTATAATTCATTAAAATGTAGAATTCTTGCATCAGCACAGTGCATACAATATGTAACATTTTTAAAAGGAAAAATAACCTATATTTAACTACTTCCATCTTAATATTTTAAGCAAAACTTTGTTTCCATGTTTTCATACTGAGTAATTAGTCTCTTTAGTTTGTAAGCATAGGTTTAACTGACATCTTTATGTACAAAAAGGAATGGGCTTCATTAGATAAATAACCCAGAAAAACCTGTACACCTGAGCCTGTAATAAGAAAGAATCAGGAACTGTAGCAACGTCTTTCTTTTAAGAACTAAGGTCTGGGAAGGTTTTGCATAGCAGGGGTGACATTAAACAGAAGAAAACTTTAAAAAACAATAATTAAATTCAGAAACTGGGTAGGACAAAGCTAATATGAATTAGTGCAAAATCTAGTAAAATTTTTGCAAAGCTGCGTAATCCACTATGGCAGATTTTATAGAAGCTATTATTACAATGCAGTAGTAATACAATGAGTAAAACATTGAAAGGAAAACATGCAAAATACACTTTCTCCAGTTGTTTCCATTTTCTTCTTACTGCTTAAACTACTTTCCTCATGTGGACAAAACAAACAAACAAACCAACTCAACCAACAAACAAAAATACAAACAGGATGAGGTCATCTGAAAAATGCCCTTCATAAAATATTAGTTGCCCCTCTGTAACTGGTGATTTGCCTGGTACCAAAGAATGTACAGATGAAGGCAATGTGTTCTGTCACATTATCTTTTTCATTAGTACGATCAATTGATGCAACAGGATTAGCACCCTGAAAGTTTTTCTCTGATGTGATGACAATGGACTGGGAATTATAAAATGAAGGGACACTGCTGTCCTGGAGAAACCCAGGTAGGATTAAATCCTCTGCCTTTCATCACCTTGCAGCCCTGCAGCCCTCCCTCCCCACAAAGCTTATAGATAATCATTAGCGCACATTCAAAGACACCTCCGTCTGTGGGAGAAAAATTATCTCCATTTATTTTGTTTCATATACATCCATAGTTGAATTTTAATACAAAAAGGAAAATTAGAATCTGACAAATGTTTACAACAAGATACCTTCAAATAGATTTTACTCATTTTAGCCTGGTGCAGAGTAATTGACAAATTGTACTTGTTATATTCAAGGCAACAGAGTCTGTAGTCCAGGACCACTTAGCAGGATGGGCCACTGCGGGAATTCAGGGAACAAGAGCAAAGCATAAGGCTTACAATGGTCTGATACTGTTATGTTTACAAACATGGGAAACAGAAGTAAAATAAAGTTGAGGATGGTTCCAAACTATTCTGTGGTAATATACTGAGCGATTTTTAGGGAATTTTCCCAAAATGAAGTCTTGTCCAAACTTGTGAAAAAACTGTTACTAGGAATTGCACTTTTGGCGATAACTGCATTACTACATCACTATTAGCCGAATAAAGTATGCCAGCTAATGAAGGAGCTTGAGTTAGTTTAGATAATTATCTCGGCCAAAAAAAAAAAAAATTAACTCACATGAAGATAGTGCCCACAGTCACAAAAAACAAAGGCAATGTTTAAGATGACAAAATGGCTAAGTGTCATCTGATAGCGTGATCGGGATTACAAATGGCAATGATTACTATTGTTTGGGATGGTAGGTGTCAAGCATGGAAGGAGAGCAGACATAAATAGCCTGTGGTTAAGGAGAAAAAAGAAATGACTTTACATTACACACAAGGGTAGGCTTGACTAGGTTGTATAATACTGAGTTTTGGGATGTAGAACACAAAAGGCCAGAAGCCCCAGTGTGATGTGTGATGATACTTGGGAGTCACCATTGGTTAATATGTCCACCCTAGCAAACACACGCAAGCCAGTTCTTAGAACTTCCTGGATAAAAATTAAGGCTTTCAAGTTATTCGTTTAAGGAAAGCTAGTGAGGCCTCAAGTCCAATGAGCTCGACAAGCTCGTCGGGCTGTGGGTGGATGTGCACAGGAAGCAGGAGAAAGGAAGACAGGTCACGTGCGTTAGGCGATCAACGGTCAAGCGACAATACCTTTTCAACTATCAGTCAGTACCTGGCGGCTACAGCCTAATTTTGACAGAAATTGTAACGCAGCCAAATTCATTGTAGTTTCTAATGTTTGTCCTATTGATAGATTTTGCTTAGCAAATGGTTTGTGCTTCCAAAGTCCTACAGGGCCCTTTGTGCTGTATGTGGCCCACATATAGCTCCCGTCATCAGTAAAATACTCATTGCCCTGTCAAGAGTAATTCAACAGCCGTTCCTCCTCAATCAATAGATATTTAAATTAAGCTGTTACTTTAGAATTCAAGGCGAAAAAGTATTTTTTCTTGTTGTAGAAAGTCTTAAAACATTTTTTTTTTTTTTGGTACTAGCTTTTCACAACTACCTTTTTAAAAGATATCACTTGGCACTTTTATGTTTCTCTTGAAATCAATTTTAAGGCTGACCAACACATGTTATGCAACATTAAAAGCTGACCTGCTCTACAATGCATGAACCTCGCATATCAGGACATATTTGAGAAGCAACCAAAAGATAGTCTTTTGAAAGGCAGACGAGAGGAACGAGTCGTGCATCGAGATGTGTGAGTCTGGCGCGGGATCCGGCTGGTGACGCTGCTGGTGGACCGCGACGGGCTGTACAAGATGAGCCGTCTCTACATCACTCCGGACGGGTTTTTCTTCCGAGTCCACTTGTTAGCCCTGGACTCCTCCAGTTGCCACAGGCCATGCCCAGACCTTAAACCTGGTATTGATCTGACCCAAACGGCCGCCTCCGTGTGCTCCCTACCACCATTTTGTAACGCGGAGGCCACAGCCCGCCCCGGGGGCACCCCGGCCTCCCTCTTCTGGGGGTGGGGGAGGCGGCACGAAAACGGGAATGGGATTTAGACGACAGGTATGGTTTCGGTCACCCTGGATTTAAGCCCCATCAGACCACCTCCCCCAATAGGTGGAACAGCACTGATTGGCGCAGACTCCCAATAAATATGTGTTGACAAGCGGAGTGAAAGGCGGAACTACGTAGCCAGAGGAAGAACACGGGAGTCCGCGCCTAGAACCGAGTTTAGAAAGGCTGCTTTTCGGGGGGAGGGGGCAGGAGTCACTTCTTTCTAGACTGCTCTGGAAAATCCTGCTGACACCTTGTGATTAGGCGCTTTGTTCTGTAATGCTGGCCGTCTGCAGGCTGATTATGTGGTTTATCTTGCAAGGTCACTGCACTGTTGCCACCTGTTGCCTGTAGTTTAAATGTCTCGGGTTTCAACATGCGCAGCAAGTAATAGATTTGAACTTAGGTACTTGTTAAAGGCCTTAACTTTCCTTCTTGTTTCATGGCATATAAAAGACACTATTACTATTAATACTTTATTTGGTTATTTTGTTCAGGCAGCAGGTATATTGTGATGGGCCACATCTACCATAAGAGACGGCAGCTCCCTGCAGCTCTGCTCCAGGTCCTGCGAGGGCGCCTCCGTCCAGGGGATGGACTGCTCAGGAGCAGCAGCAGCTACGTGAAAAGGTTTAACCGCAAAAGGGAAGGGCAAGTTCAAGGTGTGATTCACACCCAGTGCACTTGAAACATACCACCTGGCATTTCTGGATTGCAGGAAGACTTGGAATTCAGCAACGAGCCATGAAAGGTCTATCTTCATGTGATGGGGTCTTCCTTTACAAGATGGCCCATAGCTACTTTATGAATGCCTTGCATAGTTCCAACTCTAATCTTGGAGGTGTCACTTTCTTATGTCAAAATGCTTCTTAACGGTATGCTGAGCTCAGTGGCAAGGTTATGCAACTGTAGTGCCGGACAGTGACTGACACAGCTCAGACAATGGACCTGTCCAGTAACAGATTATTGCTTCATGTTTTTTTTAAATTATTTTAATTTAATACATTCTGTAGAATAGTTCACAAAAAACATTTTTGAATTAAAATATACAACTTTGAATAGCTTATGTTATCAAAGCAAATTTTATATTCAAACCATCACATTTTAAATTCTGTACAGAACAATAAGTACGTTAGTCAAAAGACATTTACATATGAAATGTCGTTTAGATCCAACACTAGGGTCAGAGCCCAGGACAAGTATTAAAATTTTACGTTTAGGCTGGGCTTGGTGGCTCACACTTGTAATCCTAGCACTCTGGGAAGCCAAGGTGGGCAGATGGTTTGAGCTCAGGAGTTCCAGACCAGCCTGAGCAAGAGCAAGACCCCATCTCTACTAAAAAAAATAGAAAGAAATTAGCTGGACAACTAAAAATATATATACTAATATATATATATAAAAAAATTAGCCGGGCATGGTGGCGCATGCCTGTAGTCCCAGCTACTCGGGAGGCTGAGGCAGAAGGATTGCTTGAGCTTAATTCTAGCAAAGGGTTTTTGATGTACCAGAATGTATGATATAGTTTATCTTCATGCCTCCCTGCTCCTAATAACTTATGATTTGTGCTGACTGGCAGCTATCCAAGTGCTGAATATATTCTGGGTGTATCTGATGTCATTTTTGTGTTAAGACCAAGTATCATGTATCATGTTTGTGTTTGTAAAGAAGTAAATCTTGCCTTGAAATCAGATCTTGGATGCACCTGTTTTGTTTTTGTAGCCTCACCGGCTCAAAAGTTTGAGAAAAAGCTTTTCTCAAACTTACTCCAAAGACTCTGGAACCAATATTCATCAATGACAGCTCAAAAGCAAGTGATTTTTAAACATTTCCCAGTTTGTTAGCAAAAGCTAACTAATCACTAGCTAAATTTAGTATTGATTTTATACTTGAGTCCACAAAGATATTGCAGTGTTTTTTTCGCCCCCCAGAAGATCAGGCTGTACCAGTTAACTCAAGGCACGGTGAATAGAGACACCAATACTGCATGGTTGAAGATGACTGCCTCAAGGAAGACAAAAAGGAATTGCACTAGGCAGAGTAGAACAGCCTATTTGGTCTCCAGGTGATGCACTCAGGTTCACAATGTGTCTTTACTCTGTAATGGCACACAGTAGCACCAAACACCTAAGGACATCAGGATGGGGCACTGGGGAATTCATGGGAAACAAGGAGCAAAAGCATAAGGCATTACAATGTCTGATACTGTTATATTATGTGTTACAAACATGGGAAACAGAAGTAAAATAAAGTTGAGAGGTTCCAACTATTCTGTGGTAAAGTATTACTGAGGGATTTTTAGGGAATTTTCCCAAAATGAGTCTTGTCCAAACTTGTGAAAAACTTTACTAGAATTGCATTTTGGGAGTCAACTGCATTACTACATCAACTATTAGCAATAAAGTATGCAGCTAATGAAGAGCTTTTGAGTTAGTTTTAAGATAATTATCTCTGGCCAAAAAAAAAAAAAAAATTAACTCAGGCATAATATAGTGCCACAGTCACAAAAAACAAAGTCAAATTTTTAAATGACAAAAGGCTAAGTGTCAATCTTGACTAGCGTGATGGGGGAAATTACAAAATGGCCAAATAGATATACTATTGTTTGGATGGTCAGGTGTACAAGCATAAGGAGAGGAGACATAAATAGCTGTGGTTTAAGAGAAAAAGAAATGACTTTTACATACACACAAGGGTTAGGGTTTGACTTAGGTTGATTAATACTGAGTTTCTGGGATGTTATAGAAACACAAAAGGTGCCAGAGCCCTGTGATGTGTATGATACTTGGGAGGTCACATGGTTAATATGTCCACCCTAGCAAACACACGCAAGCCAGTTTCTTAGAAACTTCCTGGATAAAAATTAAGGCTTTTCAAGTTCATTTCTGTTTAAGGAAAGCCTAGTGAGGCTCAAGCCAAATGAGCTCGGACAGCTGTGGGCGTGTGGATGTGCACAGGAAGCAGGCAGAAAGGAAGACAGGTAACGTCGGGTTAGGCGATCAAGGTCAAGGACAATCACCTTTTCAATATTCAGTCAGTACCTTGGCTACAGCCTTTAATTTTACAGAAAATTTTAACGAGCAAATTCATTGTAGTTTCTAATGCTTTTGTCCTATTGATAGATTTTTCTTAGCAAATGGGTTTGTGCTCCAAAGCCTACAGGGCCCTTTGTGTGTATGTGCGCACATAATAGTCCCTCATCAGTAAAATACTCAGTTGCTGTCAAGAGTAATTCAACAGCGTTCCTCCTTCAAATCAATAAGAATTTTAAATTAAGCTGTTACTTTAGAATTCAAGGGGGAAAAAGTATTTGTTTTTCTTTTGGTAGGGAAAGGTCTATAAAACATTTTTTTTTTTTTTTTTTGGTACTAGCTTTTCACAACTACCTTTTAAAGATATCACTTGGCACTCTTTATGTTTCTCTTGAAATCAATTTTAAGGCTGACCAAACACATGTATATGCAAACATTTAAAAGCTGACCTGCTGCCTACAATGCATAACCTCGATATCAGGACATATTTGAGCAAGCAACAAATAGATAAAACAGGACTTTATCATTTTAAAAATATAGCTTATTTCTTTAGTTGACTTTGGTTCAAACTGGATCAAATGGTGTTATCGTCAAAAAACAGTTTTCAGTATGTATCTTCTAAGTATGTAGAGGTAAGCTCAGACTGTTTCAGAATTAAAACTACTTTTCATCTGGCTCTTCCTCCCCCCACCCCCCTGCCCCAGAACTTGTAAGCCATTGCTCTGTCCATGAGACAACACCATTCTAAAGGACATAAACACTGTAATAACTAACCACGTAGCTCTGTAAGTGTGCAGAGATGTGAAAGGCCACCAAAAACAAAGAAGCAGGAAGTCTGCCTAATAGAAATGAACAGAAATAGGAAAAGAACTTTTATTTGCAGATTCTAGGAAGGTAGATTACAAACAACAGCAAATCTCAGTGTCTCTAAATAACACTCCAGGCCACTTTAAATATAAAAAGGTAATTAAGTGTTTTACTTTAGAAAATATCTCTGAAAGTTCACAATTTCTTAAAACCTACTGCAGGATATGAACTACAGTGCAAATCCTGCAGAATTTGGGTAGGAGAAAAAAACCTTAATATTAGGAAAATACTTTTTCTGAAATGGTCTCAAGGATTGAGAACTTGGCAGATGAAGCATAACAAGCATTGAAAATACTTTTAGCCAAGGAAATCTGATGCAAGTTAAATATATTTACAGGTCCAAAGCTGGGGTAGAAACATCCTACTAGTACCACAAATGTGCATTCTACTCCTTAGATTATTGAAAGCAAAATAGCTGTAATATGTATATCTCACTGAATAGCAGAAGCTTGTCAAAGAATACTCATAGAAAAGCAGCTTTTGGAATTATGTTTTATAAGAATGCATGTTTTTCAAAAATTACTTTTGAAAGACTAAAGCTCTGTAGTTGATAAAACTATGTCTTTATGTATTTATATGGTGATAGAAATTGTAAAATACTTTATACCATTAAATACATGTATGAAGTTAACATCTTTCTGGTCTCAGGATATCCATAAAATTTACCTGTTTTGTACAATTTGGCAATGCCAACAGCTACAGAAAATATATCAACCAACAAACCATTGTTTCATTAGAAACTGCACCAAATCCAATGTCAAAAACATTACTTTATTTTCTAGGATGAAATGTCCTATTAAGTACAAAAGAATTGCTGTTTAGAATTTGCCACAATTTGTTAAAAACATAGCAATCTATTGCCTACAGGTAGGAAAGTTCTTGCCGCAACAAGTTTTAAATGATTAAGCCCATATATATTTATATATATATGAATAAATAGTACAGAAATACTGTGACATGATGAGATGCAGAATAACTTTATAATTCATTAAAATGTAGAATTCTTGCATCAGCACAGTGCATACAATATGTAACATTTTTTAAAAAGGACAAAATAACCTATATTTAACTACTTCCATCTTAATATTTTAAGCAAAAACTTTGTTTCCATGTTTTCATACTGAGTAATTAGTCTCTTTAGTTTGTAAGCATAGGTTTAACTGACATCTTTATGTACAAAAAGGAATGGGCTTCATTAGATAAAATTAACCCAGAATAACCTGTACACCTGAGCCTGTAATAAGAAAGAATCAGGAACTGTAGCAACGTCTTTCTTTTAAGAAACTAAGGTCTGGGAAAGGTTTTGCATAGCAGGGTGACATTAAACAGAAGAAAACTTTAAAAAACAATAATTAAATTCCAGAACTGGGTAGGACAAAGCTAATATGAATTAGTGCAAAATCTAGTAAAATTTTTGCAAAGCTGCGTAATCCACTATGGCAGATTTTATAGAAGCTATTATTACAATGCAGTAGTAATACAATGAGTAAGAACATTGAAAGGAAAAACATGCAAAATACACTTTCCTCAGTTGTTTCCATTTTCTTCTTACTGCTTAAACTACTTTTCCTCATGTGGACAAAACAAACAAACAAACCAACTCAACCAACAAACAAAAAATACAAACAGGATGAGGTCATCTGAAAAATGCCCTTCATAAAATATTAGTTGCCCTCTGTAACTGGTGATTTGCCTGGTACCAAAGAATGTACAGATGAAGGCAATGTGTTCTGTCACATTATCTTTTTCATTAGTACGATCAATTGATGCAACAGGATTAGCACCCCTGAAAGTTTTTCTCTGATGTGATGACAATGGACTGGGAATTATAAAATGAAGGGACACTGCTGTCCTGGAGAAACCCAGGTAGGATTAAATTCCTCTGCCTTTCATCACCTTGCAGCCCTGCAGCCCTCCCTCCCCACAAAGCTTATAGATAATCATTAGCGCACATTCAAAGACACCTCCGTCTGTGGGAGAAAAATTATCTCCATTTATTTTGTTTCATATACATCCATAGTTGAATTTTAATACAAAAAGGAAAAATTAGAATCTGACAAATGTTTACAAACAAGATACCTTCAAATAGATTTTACTCATTTTAGCCTGGTGCAGAGTAATTGACAAATTGTACTTGTTATATTCAAGGCAACAGAGTCTGTAGTCCAGGACCACTTAGCCCAACCTTTATGCAAGCTTAATTTTTATCTACCATGAACAATAAACTCATTTTGATTCCCAGTTGTGTGTGTGTGCACATGTGTACATAGCAGCTCCTTTCATAGAAAGAAAAGACATCTAGAGGTTGTCTTGTACTTTTACCTACAGGAATCATGATAAGATACAGGATGGATTACGTGTAACCGGGGCTGGATTTTATAAGAAAAAATAATTAGCTGACAAATGAGGGCAGCAATAAAAAAGCGTCTTTTTTGCAACAATAAATAAATACAGTCAAAAGTTTTCTGTGAGACTCTAAACCAGCTTCTTCACTGAAGAGCAGACGTGGCATTTCCATGGAGTTAAACTTGACCCCATAGTATCTTTTTTTCTTGCTTTCTTTTTCTTTTTTTTTTTTCAATAAACAAAGTTTTCCCGCTTCTGCCACAATAGTAAAACCATTTGATCTTGACAAGATAATGGTGTCGTTGACTTTGCTTTTCTCTTGTCCGTTGGACAAAATTGGCCAAGAATATAATTGGACTGTTATGACCAATAAAAACGAAGTTTAGGTCTTGTCAGGATAGCCTGACTAAAAACATCTGGCTCCTTAATTTAAAATAGTTCAGATAACCAGATTCTTGCTGTGTTTTATGTTAGGGTAACACGCTGAACTTTAAGAAGCTGTAGACTGCAGTTTGTTGTTATGAGACCTACAGAATATAGAAAAAAGGGAACAATTAAGCACCCTTCATTTTTGAAAACAATGATGCTTTATGCGGATGCCAAGGCCAGTCAGTCTGGGAGAAGCAGCCATGTTCTTTCACTCACCCTTGGCAAGCAAATATAAAAAACAATTAAGAAATTTTTAACCTATAATATTAAAACGTTTCACTGTACACTAAACATGATAGCTCACTGGAAAAAGCCAATATTTAAAAAAATAGATATATTTGTCTAATAAAGATTACAACATTTTCAGCCAACAGGACAAATAGAGACATTTACAGAAGCATTACCATTGTGGTAAAAGGTGTGTGTATGTGTGTGTGTGTGTGTGTGTTTATTTACATTGATTTGGGAAATATGAAGGGAAAAAAATTATGTTAAAAGAAGAAAAGTAGCAATATTAAAATCACATTTTTCTATTAAAGTCCAGAAAGTCTCCCTTCTAGTTTCACAGTTTTATTCACAACTTTTCGTTAGTAAACCAAATTACTTTACAGTTACCAGGACTAAGTCAAAATACTTTATATTGCAATAGCAGATAAATACAGTATTCCAAGAGTTTACAATTTTTAAATACATTGTTCAACATGGCTGCTAGAATAAATTGTTTACTACTATACATCTTTCTTTGACATTAAAAAATTATATTAACTAATCTGAACTTTTTGGGGGCAATTTTGAATTAGGTAATCACGTGGTACAATAAAACAAAGAGTGACCCCAACATCCAGTTCTGATTCCAGTTAAAAATTCAGACTAAAGATATCACAATCTGTAAGAAAAGAAAGAACACGGATGGTATAAATGATGAATTATAACAAAGTGCAGTAATGAAAATAATGAGCAGACAACGCTGGAGATCATAAATTAAAAATGGGGAAATACAGCAAAGGAAATACTGGAAATCCATAAATAAATCAAGTTTCAATGACTGATGACTTAAATGTTTCATTCTGCCTTAGATCTGGAAATCAACAGAAATTCCCTATAAAGGCAACAGTGAGTTGCCTTTACTCAGCTTTTTACAATGCAATTTAAGCAGAATTGAGCAAACTTCTCAATTCAGCTCCCACATTCTTTAATGAAAATTATGTAAACGAGTATATAAAAAGCTACATAAATAACCAGGCAGCGAGACAGCCTAAGTGCTCAGGCCCAGCCTATGCCTCCTCCTTTTCTTCCCCGAGTCCCTTTGTTTTGCCAGGCATTGTCCTCTCCTCCATCAGCAGCTGCTACCACTCACCCTCCAAGGTCTGCCTGCAAGCCTGGCAGCGCGTGGGATTCCAACCCCTCAGCTTCTACCTCACAGTTACTGCCCAAGGCCTTTCCAATTTAAAACAGCAAGTTTAGAAAATTTAATGGGAGGAATAACTATGACACACGAAGCAAAGAACACAGAGGGGCTGTAATGAGAAGCTGAGCTCCTCTGTCCTACTTTACCCAACCTGAAGTCCAGGCTCCTTGGGATCAATCACTTTGATCTTTCAGTTCTTGGGTTGTTAAGATTTCAAATACTACTATTTCTTGTTGTATCAACTGTATTTTTTTAAACTCTGCTATGACAAATGAGAACCAGGTTCACTTAACCACTTTCCCACAACTCTTTTTTGAGTCCAAGTTTTATTTCTGTATAATTAAAAGTTACAATGTTCTACGTTTTTTCTATAGGTTGATTCTAAAATCAATGTAGTATTTACATTATTATGACCATATAAATCTTTTCCTCTGTGGCACCTTGTCTTTTGCTAAGAGGGTGGGTATTCTTATACAGCTTTTTGTTTTTTGCAGAGATTCTCACTGCCTTTCAATTTTTATCCTTACATTCTTTGGCTTAATTATAGCCTTATGTTTTTCTGTCTAAAACAAATTATCTAATGTATGAATTGTTTTCTTTCTCCAGACATCTCCCTCCTGAGAGTGGTCCACTCTCTTCTACCATGTGGATTGCCTGCCATGAAGGCCTGCTGTACAAATGTCACCCTGGGTCATCAGAGTAATTTTCACTGCTTTCTTGAACTTCTTGTTTCCTGAACCCAAGCTCTTGTTTTCTTGATTTGTTTCCTTATTTTTCTAGCACACATATTGCCAAGAAAGGACATACTTTCTGAGTCCTTACATGACTGACTAAAAATGCATTTATCCTGCCTCTACACTTGATTGTTAAGCTGGACACAGACTTCTAGGATGAAAATCATTTTTCCTTAAACTTCTGGATTTATTACCCCATAATCTAGCATTAAATGTTGTAGTGGAAAAGCCTGATACTAGTCTAATTCTTGTTATTTTATATGTAATCTCTTTTATCTTCTTTACGAGCTCTTTAGAAGAGCTGCTTTTATCCTTGGCATTTGGAAATTTTACAGTGATGCACAGGAGTGGAACTTTTCCCATTTGTCCACCTGGTTTGTTATATTTATCAACTGTTCCTTCCACCTCCCCATAGAAAGCTGGGCTTTTACTGTATTCACTGCTAAATTCCCAATGTCTGGTACATATCAGGTTCTCAACAGCCACTCACTGAATGAATGAATTCGTTTTGCTGGAATTTAAAGTCTTGTGCCTCTTGGGAAATTTTTCTTATATTAATCTTTTGATAATTTCATCTCCTTTATCTATTCTGTTCTTCCTGGAATTTCTATTAAGTGAATACTGTATACTCTATATTTCTTCTTTCACATTCTTCATCTCCTCATCTTTTTGTTCTTTACATTGGGGAAGTTCCTTGATTTTAACGTTCACATCTTGTAAGAAGTTTGTGTTTTTTCTAATCATTCTTTTTTTTGTTCTCCGATTACTTTTTATTCCTAATACCCTGCTCACCATTTTACAGATGCAATGTCATCTGAAAATTCTCTCAGGATACAATGTAGAGGTTTGTTTTCCTTTTTAAAAAAGTTCTCTTTTGCTTTCTCTGGAAATCTATTTTTCTGCTACACCTCGACCCTTCTCTTCACACTGTAGGGTTTCCTTACACGCCTGGCCGTCCCTGGGTGTGTTACACACTTCAGGGTAAGTTAAATGACTAGCTGTGTGCCTGGAGGGCCCCGTGTAAGTGTGCAGGGCTTATGGAAATGAGGGTTCTCGGCGTCCACAGTACTGACACTGGGGCTGGATCTCTGCTGTGTGGGGGGCCATCCCTACAGGATGTTCAGCAGCGTCTCTGGCCTCTGTTAGGTGCCAGCACCACCCCGACCCATACACAGATCTTCAATGAATCCCCCTTGTCCTTTTCTTGCGCCTTCTATCATATTCCAAAATCTCCACATGTGGGAGCTCTCTGGGGTTCCACTGATCAGAAGCTGTCACCTCTGCTGAAAACCCCTCAAGGAAGATTCCGGGCTGTGGCCTGCCTGCCTTCATCTGTCCATCTCTCCTACCTGCTTCCTATATTCCACAATTTATAGTCGGGAGACTGCTGAAAGCTCATCAGCAGACTGCTTTCTACTACATTCTCTTCACTACTGTGAGTTTAAGCCTTCTCATTCCTTTATTATTTTATTATTTTTCAAAGGACTCTGTCATATTAAGTTTTCTTCCACTTTAAGTTTTATAGCTAATGGGTTAAGAAATAGAGGATGAGAAAAATGACAACATTTTAGAGATTCTGTGAAGTTTCTTGGTTCAAGCCTGCCTGCCTGCCTGCTTTTCTTCCTACCTAGCCTACAGTTTTTGATTCCTTTACTGAGAAGGTCACTGGATACTTTAGCTGGGTTTGTGCTTCACTTTTGTTTACGTAAACTGACTCTAAAGTACAGTTGTTGGTAATGACCTACCTTGCTACAGGAGAAGAAAAGAGACAAAACACCCTACAGGTTTTCCTCAGAGCAAAATTACTAGGTACTAGAGCGTCGATTCTTACACTGTGTGCAGGTCCTTTAGGAGTCGGTCAGGTAACATACAGAAGCCCAGGTCCCAGCCCAGTCAAGGGCCACCCATTCTGAGAACCTAGGGACATCAAGCTTGTGGGCCAGCAGATGGGGATGGTGAGTAATGAATCTCAAGGGCTTTGGAGTGGTGGCAGCCACCATGGGAAAGGAAAAAAAAGAAAAACAGGCCTCTGTTGGAAGGAAGAGAACCCTGGGCCTGAGACGGGAGTTAAGGGAACGAAACAGAAGGGCATTAAGGTCACCGTAACTGAATTTATTGCAAAGCTGCTCAATGCTTTTGTGTTACTAGAGGTTCAAAGAAAAGGCCTATGAACTTAAAGTCTGGCTTTGCCCAGAGAAAAAATATCCAGAAAAAAATGTAACATTTTATGATTTCAAATATATAGCAAATGTAAATTAAAGAGAAAGTATTTAAATGCCCCCCCTTTACTCTGCTCTACAGAACAGTCATTTCTATACCTCCTACTCCCCTAAAACTCAGCGACAGCAAAGCTCTTACTACCTCTGTACCTGCCCTGTGGCATTTAATATAGCATCTTGTATTCCATAAGCATTTGATAAATGCCTTTTTAATTTAAAAAAATGACTAATTTTAAGTAGATCAAAACCCCAGCAATTTCCTATTATTTTTTTCTGTCCATTTGTCCTTGGCAGTATAGCATGATAATAGAGTCTTAACGTTTTTTAAGATTTTTGGTTTTAAGTTTCAAATTTATCATAAACTGCATTGGCTAATTCCTTAGACAGTAGAAAGAGTTTAAAGAGCTGAATTAATTTAGGACTGAATCCACATGCTCACCTGCTAGCCTTGAATCCTTTCAACTTCTGTACAAAGAATGACTCAAGAACTTCTGCACACTGGTAAAAAGGGGAGTCACTTGGATTGTAGTAACGACAGTTATCAAATATTTTGGTCATATCTGCCACAAATTCCGTCAGCTTTTCATAGTATCGTCTTTGTACTCTTTCTTCCATGGTGGCGAGGTCTTAAAAACATAAAATGTAAAACATTTTCAAAACTTTAAGGTTTTTCCAATGTGAGTATTTCCCAAAGTTGTGACAAACAAGAATGTATGTTTACTGTCCAAACAGTCCTGGAACCAGGCCAGCTCACCACTGGAGACTATTCTGTAATTCATAAAGAACACAGGAGTGCTTTCCCAATTTTGTTTTTGATTGAGGTTCTAAATATAAATCCTGGTTGCTGTTAAGGTTCTTTTGTTTGGTTAACTGCAGAGACAGCTCTTCATTCAACTGGTTTGAGATCAAGGAAGCTACACTAACATGATCTATGCATATCTAAGGATAATAAACTTTTACACGTAAACAATTAAGTATAGTGTATGTACGTGGCATCTGAAGGAAGGGGCAGTCTTGGGGACTAACCCCTCAATCTGTGTCATCTGATGCCATCTCCAGGTAGACAGTGTCAGAATTGAATTGAATTAGAGGACACTCAGCTGGTGTCCCCTGCAGACTGCTGGATTGGTTGTTGGTGGGAAGAAATCCCCACACAATTCTTAGTGACCAGAGGTCACAGAAGTCTTCTGTGTTGATTGTTGTGGTGTGAGAGCAGAGGAAAACAGTTTGTTTTCTTTCCTCTTAGAGCAGGTAAATGCTTTGGAATATAATGACTGAGCTAAATCTACCAGAAACCTTGGGTCCTAGGAGAAGGTTGTATTTAAAAAAATTTAGCACACAGTTTTATACAAAATCTGGGAGAGTGAAAGGCCAGTGATATCAAATCAATCTAAGATTGACAGACAAATAATACAATTCGACTCAAGTTAATTTTAATGTAAAAAATTGATTTTAGAGTTCATACAAAAAATAAATGTGTGGCCAGGCGCTGTAATTCTAGCACTCTGGGAGGCCAAGGTGGGAGGACTGCTTGAGCTCAAGCAGTTCGAGACCAGCCTGAGAAACAGCGAGACCCTGTCTCTATGAAACATAGAGCAGGTCCTGGTGGCATACACCTGTAGTCCCAGCCACTTGGGAGGCTGAGGCAGGAGGACTGCTTGAGCCTGGGAGTTTGACATTGCTGTGAGCCAGGCTGACGTCATGGCACTCTAGCTTGGGCAACAGAGCAAGACCCTATCTCAAAGACAAAACAAAACAAAAAAATCCCAAATTGTACACAACAAAAAAAATCCATGAATGGCAGTGATTAAATTTTAATTTCATACAATTGAGAACGATCTAGGTCAATAACATAGCTGATGTGAACAAGGTACTGTTAAGTTATAAAAAAGGTACTGCTAAGTTTATACTATACAACATTAATTCATATAAACCTATTTTTGTTTAAGAAAACAAAAGCTGCTGATCTTGTTGGTTCCCTCAAACCCCCAAAGGAAACTACTATTTTCATACGATTTTCAATTTAGTCTATATCATTCCAGGTATTTTCTATGCATTTCTAAACATAATTATGTACTCTTAGAAAATAAATATTTACTGCTTAAAATCTAAGCATTGTTCTGTAACTTTCATTTTTTTTCCAACAACACATCTTAGAGATCTATATTTATATACCTACCTAAGAGATACATAAGACAATATTTATCTTGGTATTGACAAAAACAAAACCACCAAAAAAACAAACCAAACAAACAGGAAAACAATCTAGCTCTTCCAAGAATTTTGGTTAAGTTAGAGTATTTTCAATTAATAGGCCATCAAAAGCCATTAACATCAAGTTGTTGAAGATAACACATAGGAAAATGTTTGCGCTTACTGTATGATCTCAGTGTTAACACACATGTATACAAGAACACATTAGAAGTAATGGCTATCCCCTATGTAGATGGCATGCTGGTTCAGTGAGAAAGAGAGGAAAGGTACCCTTTATCTTTTTTTTAAACTTTCTATAATTAACTTGTATTATTTTCATCAGCAGAATTTATTAATTTAATAAACACCCCCAGCTGTCTCAAAGAACACTATATAAATCTGAACTATGTACTACTTCCATCTTCAACATCATGACAGGTAACAACTACTTATTTGTTTCTTTTTCAGAGATAGTTTTAACTAAGTCCTTGTTTATTTCTTCTTCATGTTTCCCCCTCTGCCATCACATATAACCTCTTCCCATTTAAAAAATGCTTAGCTGGCTTTAGGAGCACAATTCTTTTTTTTTCTTGAGATAGAGTCTCGCTTTGTTGCCCAGGCTAGAGTGAGTGCTGTGGCATTAGCCTAGCTCACAGCAACCTCAAACTCCTGGGCTCAAGCAATCCTACTGCCTCAGCTTCCTAAGTAGCTGGGACTACAGGCATGCACCACCATGCCCGGCTAATTTTTTCTATGTATATTATTAGTTAGCCAATTAATTTTTTTTCTATTTATAGTAGAGACAGGGTCTCGCTCTTGCTCAGGCTGGTTTCAAACTCCTGACCTCAAGCAATCCGCCTTCCTCGGCCTCCCAGAATGCTAGGATTACAGGCGTGAGCCACCACGCCTGGCCGAGGAACACAATTCTTTCATTAGCTGGAACTAATCCTTTGGCAGCTTTTATTATCTATGTTTTAATTTTTATAATTTATTTTGCAGATAAGTTATTTTTTAATACAATCATTTATAGCTATTCATCTGAATACAATTACTTGTGGCTGTTATTACCATTTTTTCTGGGAAATAGGCTATATTCTCTTGGATCTCTATTGTGAGTCCATCAGATTCGCTCTCCTTCAAGAAAAGATGAGAAGTGAAGGGAAAGAACGGGGTCACACAGACCCCCAACCCATTTATTGATTTCATTCATTCTTTTATAAAGCTGCACAACACTCCACTCATATACCATTTGATATAGCTATTCCTCTATTGGTGGCTATTTATTTCATTTCCAATGTTTTTGCAATTATAAACAATGCTGCAATGAACAACATACTTGTGCACATGTAAATCCTAAGAAATGAAGTTGCTGGATTCAAGGGTATGCACATTTAAACTTTAATACCAAAGGACCATACCAAATTTATACTCCCACCAGCCTTGCTCAAGATGGTCTCATGATACAGCAATTTTATGGATGACAAATAAAATAGCTGCTGAAACTTCTGAAACAGCTTACTATCCAACTCAAGTACTTACCCATGGGTTCCTTAATAACACCATAATAATCTGGTGCATCATTAGGGTCTACTGGTTCAAGGAAAGGCCAGGCCATCTTATGTGCCTATGATGAAAAAACAAGCATCATTACTGTCTGGTGGAAATACCGATTCCATTTAAGTTGAGTCACTCACTACATTAATCAACCCTTAAACTCCAAAAGTCAGTTTTAAATTTAATAGATAAATTATTTATACTAGATGAGTTCTGCTCTAGTCAACAAATTACCTAAGATGAGCACACTCTATAGTAATAGTCCTCAAAGGCTGGTCTGAGGACCTTGGTGTCTGGCATGGAGCAATGGCTTAGGAGTCATGAACTGTGCACTGTGGTCCCTATATGATGACCTGCCAACTGAGTAATGCTGGCACTGCAATCACATCTGTAAACTGGGGTGGGATGTGTTTGAAGTGTAGAATGCTTGGTTACCAGTGCTGGTTAATAAAGTGGCAGGGGTGTGGTGTTAATTAACACTCAACCATGTATTAAGACTATGATTCTCTTTCCAGTTCTTTCCAACTTTATGACTATAATTACAACAGGAGAAAGTTTCAATATAGCGCTCTATATTTTAACTGTATCTCTATCACTTGTGATTCCTCCAAACCAACCCTGTCTCCTCTCCTTTTTGAGACATGGTCTCACTCTGTTGCATAGGCTGGAGTGCAGTGGCGTAATCATAGCTCACAGCAACCTTGAGTGCCAGGGCTCAAGTGATCCTCCTGCCTCAGCCTCCCAAGTAACTAGGATTACGGCAAGTGCCAACACTTGGCTTATTTAAAAATGTTTTGTAGAGACGGTGCCTCGCTATGTTGCATAGGCTGGTCTTGAACTACTGGCCTCAAGCAATCATCCCACCTCCGCCTACCAAAGTGCTGGGATTACAGGTGTGAGCCACCACACCTGGCTCCTATCACTTTTTAATTTTTATAAAGAATGGAATAACTAGAATATAATCAAATTATTTTTCAATCTATGGGGGTGAGATAAAGTTTTCTTTAAAAATAAAAATTAAATTAAAAAAGCAAGTTATTTATTAATTTATTTTTTGAGACAGAGTCTCGCTTTATTGTCAAGGCTAGAGTGAGTGCCATGGCGTCAGCCTAGCTCACAGCAACCTCAAACTCCTGGGCTAAAGCAATCCTACTGCCTCAGCCTCCCAATTAGCTGGGACTACAGGCATGCACCACCATGCCCGGCTAATTTTTTTCTATATATTAGTTGGCCAATTAATTTCTTTCTATTTATAGTAGAGACGGGGTCTCGCTCTTGGTCAGGATGGTTTTGAACTCCTGACCCCGAGCAATCCGCCCACCTCAGCCTCCCAGAGTGTTAGGATTACAGGCGTGAGCCACCGCGCCCGGCTAAAAAAAGCAAGTTATTTTAAATAAGAGTGTTAGAGAAACAATTGAGGTGGTGGAGGGATATGGTAAACCTCACGATATTGGCATGTGAAGGACTAAAGTTTGTCAAGCACTTCAATGGACAAGCTGGGAGTCAGTAAATAATCACATACTCTAAGATTGGAAACTGTAAACCCTAGAAATGTTTCCAAAGTCATGCTGGCTGACTTCATTTTCTAACACTCTGCACAACGGTCTCTCACCTGCAAGGAACGCAGCACCCTCTTCAACCCCTCATAATCCTTCTCTGTTAGTGGTGTGAGCACTGTCATGGCATCCTCTGTCGACTGGCACTGTGGACAGACATACTCATCAATGAGCTCTGCCTCACTTTGCAAGATGCCAACACAGCGCCCATGGTACCAATTCTGACACCGATCACAGCCAATATAAAATCTGCAAGATCCGAAAAGGAAATGTGAGTTCAAAACAGATAGTATAACATTACTTATAATTTACTTTTAAAAATAATAAAGCATGCACCTGAAAATTTGCTAAACTCTGGGATATAAGATAGTTTTAGTATTATGGCTGTTTTAATACTCTTAAAGATTGACATTCCAATGTGTTAATTTAGTATTTTTGATGTTAACAAGCATTAAAAGTTTATTAAGAATATTGTGTAATATTGGAGAACCAATTTGAAGATAAATGTAAAACATTTAATCAATTTTAAAGCTATAAACAAAAATAAAGCCAAAAATCTTTCAACTAGTACCGTATCAAGTGGGAGCTCAAAATCCTATAAGCTAATAACAGAGTCTCAGAGCTTGTACCCAAATTAGTGTTTTTCTAACCTACAATAAAGCACCATTTCAAACACTGATAAAATCCAAACAAAGTCAGGCTATTTTAATCTCATTAATTTCTATGTTACATATTGAAGGATCAAATCTACCATTAAACCACATTTTTCCCAATGTGTCTCAAACATTCACTATGAAGCAACATAAATTTTGAAGGGGAGGTAAGAGGGAAAAAGAGAAAAAAATTGAAAAGGAATTTGTAATGTAAGTGTATAATAAATGTATAAAAAATCTTGCCTTTTATTTTAAAATAAATAAGTAACCAGTCAGAGCAATTTGGCTTCCTAAATTATTAAATATGATGCTCTTATCAGAACTCACTGTGACTCATCATAAGGTGTTCTGCAGATACAGTACAATTCCTCACTGCTGCCCTCTTGTGCCCGTTTACAATCATTACAGATGTACACATCCATTTTCTTAGCCTCCTTTTCTGTGATGCCAACACATTCTCCATGATACCAGTTAGTACAAAGATCACAGCCAATATAGAACCTAAAAGTATTCACAATGAAAATGACAATGTAATTGTCATTTTGAGCTGCATAGTACTTAAATCTGTCTTCCCTGCCCTGATTCACTTTCTTACAGGATAACTTTCTGCAATGAGTCAGCTAAACATCCTGAATCCAACCATTCTACCGCTGGCAAACTAAGTATCTGACACTATATCAAATGTGGAAACATAAAGTCACTCACATCAATTTCAACAAATACACTGTTTAGTGAAATATGGGTCTTTAAAAACATACTGGAATTTGAAAAAATAAACAACATACTGATGGTAATGTCTTCCTCTTAATGAATGTGTGTAAAACTGTAACAGGCACAAAAACCAAAGCCAAAGAATCAAAGACTTACATCTGTCAAACCTATTCCACAGAAGCCATTGCAATATCAAGGCTATTTCTTAGATAGGTTTGAAAATGTATCTCACAATTTAAATTTAAAAACAAAGCAAAGCGCAAACACCAAGTAGAAGTTACACTACAAGGAACATGCAGGTCAGCCAGGTGTAGAAGATAAATGGTCAAAATATGATATGAAGAAGAAAACTAAGAAAGGTACATGTAGTAATTCAAGTTCTACCAAGTTTCCCAAATAAACATTGGTATTTAATCTAATTAAAAATCACCCCATATAGTGGATTATGACATAGGCCAGTTTTTAAGTTAATATAGTGTTTGTGACAATGTGGAGAGTGGCTTGATTAACTAACTGGTAAAGATCTGGTAAGGAGCTGCTTCAATTCAAAACCAGGGACACAGGGCACAGAGAACAATATAAGGGTAGTTATCCAAAACCGTGTGTGGGTTCACAGTATTTGGCAAGGTAGAGCTGGATAAGTGTGTAATTGTGGGTAACTACATACAGTAAACCCTAAGGCCTTTGTATTAATAATATAAGACCCCTAACAACAAAATAAAAGGTAACTCTATAATAAACACTTACATAGTATTAGGGTACGTGTTGACAGGTGCTGTGTAGGAACACCATGTCAAAGTCATAGTGAGACTGGCAGGAATCACAGGGAAGCAGACTGGCCTTGCTGATAACACTGGCATTCTTAGTTCTCTCAACGCATTTCTTGGTAGATTCACCTGAAGCTTCAAACTGACCTACTTCGTGAATGTGAAGGAATAATACACGGCATATGGTTTATCCTATTACCACTAACTTTTTTCTTTTTAACTATGATTTTCATTGCCACAGGTGGAGGTCTTCCAAGGTATTTTTGTATGTTGCCTCCACAGGGTGGTAGGCTTTGTGTTCTGGAAGTAAGTTCAGGACTTGAATTTCAATTTTTAGTCACTCTCAATAGATTCCCAAACAATCGTAGTTTGGGATGAGAGACTATGAAGTACTCCTAAAAAAACACTGACTCATCCCAACTAAAACAAGGAATGAATGAACCTGGTATACTGAAATGTTAATAATGACAAACTGAAAAATATGAAATATCCACAAAATAATGAAGCAATCTCAATAGAACGAGCACATATACATGTGCACCTCATTTTACGCAACTTAGATATCGCAAAAAAGTTGTGTGAAATGAATTTCTGTGATTGGAATACCTGATAGAGGCCAAGAATCCTTGTTATTTAAAGAAATCCTATAAACAAATCTTTTCAACTAAAAGCAAACTCATGTTGCTTTGCTTCAGAAATCATTTAAGTGTATATTGCTTAAAGTGAGGCACACTTGTATTAAAATAAGGGAAAAATCAGTTAATAGGGTTCCACTTTTTACCTTATGTCTAATTTTCAATAAGACAATGAAAAGTGAAGATGCCTAAAATGATCTGTATTTAATTTAACATACAACTAAATCTACCAAAAAATTTTTTCATCTGGCACTTGCAAACAGATTATAATTTAGATAGTGCCAGCAGAGGAGCTTTAATGTTGCAACCTGAACATCATTAAGGAAAGTATGATTTTGTTTCATGAATTGATTAGGCATCCAATTAAGGTAGACATTAAGCATTCCCAGTTCTAAATGATCACATTTTAAAGCATAATAAACTTTTTGGTATTGTAAAGAATATTATGGTTAATTGTGGCTTAAAAAGCTGGCCTACATTTTAATGTTCAAAATAGAAGCTAAATATTTAATGATAGTAATGACCAAAAAACATGAAACTACATTTATGATTTAATGTCTCTAAAATCTTGTTTATATCACCAAATACAAGTCACAACTGTCAAAAACAGCTTCCATGTGCCAAATTTTTTGAGTTCATACTTGAGGAACAGGTGAAAGGAATAGTTTTTGGATTTTTCTGGATTGTGTCCCTGATGTGAAAGTAGGGACTTTAATAAAAATGTTAAGTGGAAATATTTCAATACAAAAACCAAAACTGCTTAAAATAAAACAATTAAAAAACCAAACCGCTCAAATTCAAAACCTCTTGCACCACTGACATTCATTCAGATGGTTTCTAGGATTTAATATAATTGCAGGGATTTGAACAGATGCCAGAAAGGATGGTCTTAATTTTGGGCAACAATAATACACCTCCTTCTCCAGACAGCATTACTGATTTGTTTGGAGTTAATCCAGAGGGAACAGAAAGCAAAGGAGCAACAGAAAGCTTGTTTTTGACAGAAAAGAATGTAACAAAAGACAAACAAGAATCACAAACATGTGAAATAGCAAATTTTACTTTACTAGTGTCAAAGTTAAGAATATCAGATGCAAGACCATAGCTCAAACATCACCCTTACATTTAACTATTTTCATTTATATCGCTACCAATACACTCATTTCCTTCAAAACTATCAATTAAACAGCTAAACTTTTAAGAAAATAAACTAGAGCTCAAAATAATCTACTCACTTAGATTCATCATAAGGCGTTTTACAGATACAATAAAGCTTTGTATCCTTCTTAGTTTCTTTTGAGGTAGTAGTGATCATTTTCTTCTTCTTGGACTTTGAGCTTGAGTCTTTCTCCTCTTCCCGCTTCCTCTTCTGGGAAGCCACGGGCACGGTGGGAGTGGACAGGAGGCCTGCGTGCTGCGCGGCGGGCGGAGGGGGAGGTGAGGGTGGAGGAGCTGGAGGAGCTGCCATCACTGGGGGGGAGGGTGCAGCTGCTGCCGTGGCCTGCGCCACCTGCACCAGGTCTTTTTCTTTCTTAATTTTCAGGTCTCTCTTCAGCTCTTCCTGTTGTCAAAGACAATACAAGACTATCACTGATCTGGCCAGAGGACCTTACGTTACCCTCCCTTGTCGAAGGAGCTCCAAAGTTCAGCCTAAATGTGAGAAAGTGTAGTAATTCTGAACATGAGTTTTCTTATTATATCTTTAACCCAATTAAAACAATTAGAAATGGAAAATGAAGATTCCACAACAACTAAAAAGCTGCTAATTATAGTATCTTCGATGGAGACCTGAAAGGAAGATAAACAAGTGTCTAGAAAGATATATCCCTCCTGGCTTGCCGTTGACCTCTCTTGGTTCTTTCAGTGGTTACTCAGGAGGTGATTTCAAGTGTCACTGGCTGCTCTCTTCTCGCTGCTCTCATTCTGAGTCCTTACAATGAGACCGAACATGAACTGAACGTGAGATTCAAAATGTGCACTGACCAGCACAAAGCAGCGTGACAGTCACATTTGCCATATGCTCCTATGTCTAGGATTTAAGACTGCAGGAAGAGCTAGGCAACATAACATACTATTTTCTCATTTTGGATTTAGCCATAAACTAAAATTCTTACTTATTTTCGTAGGAAATACTTTTTAGCCACACTTTTGCTATTCAGTATTACAAGTTATTCTTTTTTTTTTTGAGACAGTCTCGCTTTGTTGCCCAGGCTAGAGTGAGTGCCGTGGCGTCAGCCTAGCTCACAGCAACCTCAAACTCCTGGGCTCAACGATCCTACTGCCTCAGCCTCCCCAATAGCTGGAACTACAGGCATGCGCCACCATGCTCGGCTAATTTTTTCTATATATATTTTTAGTTGGTCAATTAGCTTCTTTCTATTTTTAGTAGAGACGGGGTCTCGCTCAGGCTGGTTTTGAACTCCTGACCTTAAGCGATCCACCCGCCTCGGCCTCCCGGAGTGCTAGGATTACAGGCGTGAGCCACTGCGCCTGGCCAGAAACATTCTTTTAAAAACTGCTAAACATTTGAAAGCATTCCAGGTATTAAAGGTAGAGGCAGAGTAGAGAGAGATAGAGAGAAATGCTTGACTCTTAATATGATGGTACAGTAGACAAAAGTAGAAAACAAAACACTGACTCTTAAAAAGTAGCCTGCATGCTGTCCACTATTTATTCTTCTGACCCCATTTTTGCTATTATGGTAGATTCTCTTACACTTTAGACACAGAAATAGATACAGAGACACACAGTAGCTTCTGAGTAGCAAAATGACAGTAGCTGCTATAAATGATTATTTAAATGAATTCTTGGACCTATAGGAGTTTTATAGATTCTAAAGCAGAGATTTGATATAGATTTCTACCACAAAAATAACTAAATAAAAAAAAGAAAACCAGGAAAAAAAAAAAACCCAAAACAATGTTAAGGATTTGCCTAAAGATAAGGTCCATCTGTACCTGACAGTTTGCCTAAAGCCTCTGTGTAGCATCCCCTGTCCCCAGGCACCAAGGGGACATAACAATCATCATATTAGTACCTGAGGAAGCCTTTGAACATCACATCACAAAAATTTTGCCAAATAAACGTGAATGGCCCTGATTTAGTGAGTCTATTTCTCTGTTTAGGGTCTAGATAGCCTTCTAAGAAGATAAGCAGTGTGACTAATTATTCAACAGCTCTTTTAAAAAAGAGATGGAACTTTCCAGAGAAAAAAGAACAATGAAATCTTGAGTTTCATTTTCCTAATTTATATGATGTGATTATAACATCATGAGATGGATTTTAGGAAAACCAAGATGGCTAAGAGGGTACAGTGGGTACACACTTTGACCCTCCCTCTCCCTTCAAGAATATACCAATGATACTAAAATATAAAAAAGACAAAATTGAAAAGACAAAGTCACGCTTGGATAAGATACAAATATCTCAATGGCAAGGAGACATAAAAGTGCAAACAGGCTAACACTGCAAGCCTGCTGGGTTCCAGATTCAGAACTAAGAAGTGGTAGCCAAACAACAGTAACAGTTTCTGCAGGGTACAGAGGACTAAACATGCTGCGTGTGAGGTGGGTGATAAGAACAGGCTCCCTGCTTGAAATTAAGGGTTAAATAAGCTACACGGAGCTTCAAGAGAGGAAACAAAAACAAACTCCTCTCACTAAAAATAAGCTTGCAAAACTTGAATGCTAAAAAATGAAAACAAACGTGAAGAAAGACAACCAACACAATGACAACAATGACAATTTTCACACAAAATGAAATTAATCATGCCTGTGTAAAAAAAAAGCTTCCATAAAACCCCAAAGGACAGGGTTCTGAGAGCTTCCGGACATAGCTAAACACTTGGAGGTCACTGGAGGGTAGGGTGCCCAGAGAGGGCATGGAAGCTCTGCATCCCCTCTCACGTACCTTGCCCCATGCATCTCTTCCATCTGGTGTTGGCAACCTTTGTAATAAGCAGGCAAATGTTGAGTGTTTCCCTGGGTTCTGTGAGTTGCTCTAGCAAATTATCAAAACCACGAGGAGGGGGTTATAGCAATCTTGATTTGTGGCCAGTTGGTCAGAAGCACAGGTAAAATCACCTGGGGCTTGTGAGTGGTATATAAAGCGGGGGGGAGGCAGTCCTGTGCAACTGAGCCCTCAACCTGTGGGATCTGTCACTATCTCCAGGTGAATAGTAAAAAAAATCCCTCACATCTGGTATTAGAAGTGACCTGTGTTGTGAGAGTACATATAGGAGACACAAGAGTTTGGTTTTTCCTACATCATCACAGGACTCGAGGCTGATTCCAAATTTCTGTTATTATTAACACTTTAATAAATGTCCTTGTTCATTTATCTTGCCTAATTGTTTTAGATGAATTTCTATAAGTGAAATAAACGGATCAAACGGTATCCCCTTTTCAGTCTTTTTATACTTATACATATTGATGAAATGTTCTATAGAAAAAAATGGCAGTTTCTAGAGAAAGGGTATTGTCTCTAAAAAAATAGTGTATTAGGTTAAGTATCTTTTTACAGGTTTATTGGGAACTGGCAATTTGGTTTTTTTTTTTTTTTTTGAGACAGAGTCTCACTTTGTTGCCCAGGCTAGAGTGAGTGCCGTGGTGTCAGCCTAGCTTATAGCAACCTCAATCTCCTGGGCTCAAGCAATCCTTCTGCCTCAGCTCCCAAGTAGCTGGGACTACAGGCATGCGCCACCATGCCCAGCTAATTTTTTATATACATATTTTTAGTTGGTCAATTAATTTCTTTCTATTTTTAGTAGAGACGGGGGGGGGGGTGTCTCGCTCAGGCTGGTTTCGAACTCCTGGCCTTGAGCGATCCTCCAGCCTCGGCCTCCCAGAGTGCTCGGATTACAGGTGTGAGCCACCGCGCCCGGCCGGGAACTGGCATTTTTAAATATTAAAACTGCTTGTTTACGTGTCTTATACATTTGTCTAGTAAAGTGTTCATCTTTTTCTTACTGACTTAAGAACTCTTTGAATTTCAGGATTACTAATTCTGCTACAAATGTCATAAAAACTTTTTTCCTGTTATCTGTTTTTTTTTTTTTTTTTGAGACAGAGTCTGCTTTCTTGCCTAGGCTAGAGTGAGTGCCGTGGCTCAGCCTAGCTCACAGCAACCTCAAACTCTGGGCTCAAGCATCCTACTGCCTCAGCCTCCCGAGTTGCTGGGACTACAGGCACGAGCCACCATGCCGGCTAATTTTATATAATATATATATTAGTTGGCAATTGATTTCTTTCTATTTTATAGTAGAGACGGGTCTCGCTCAGGCTGGTTTTGAACTCCTGACCTTGAGCAATCCGCCAGCCTCGGCCTCCCAGAGTGCTAGGATTACAAGCGTGAGCCACCGCGCCCGGCCTTGTTTTTTTTTTTGAGACAGAGTCTGTCTTTGTTGTCCAGGCTAGAGTGAGTGCCATGGCGTCAGCCTAGCTCACAGCAACCTCAAACTCCTGGGCTTGAGTGATCCTTCTGCCTCAGCCTCCCGAGTAGCTGGGACTACAGGCATGCGCCACCATGCCCGGCTAATTATATATATATATATCAGTTGGCCAATTAATTTCTTTCTATTTATAGTAGAGACGGGGTCTCGCTCTTGCTCAGGCTGGTTTTGAACTCCTGACGTTGAGCAATCCGCCCGCCTCGGCCTCCCAAGAGCTAGGATTACAGGCGTGAGCCACAGCGCCCAGCCTTGTTATCTGTTTTTTAATATTGTTGATGGTTGTTTTCTTAATATACAAATTTTCTTCTTCCTATGTTGTCAAATCTATTTTTTGGTGTCGCACTTAAATTTTGTTAATGCTTAAGAATGGTTTTCGCCACTCCGAGATTACAAAAATGATAATCAAGTTTTCTTTTAGTGTTTTTGTGCGGGTCCTTTTGTTGTTTTTTTGAGACAAGAGTTCAGTCTGTCACCCTGGCTAGAGTACAGTGGTGTCATCGGAGCCTACTGCAACCTCAAATTCCTGGGCTAAAGAGATCCTTCTGCTTCAGCATCCTGAGTAGCTGGGACTACAAGTGCACACCACCACCACCGGGCTAATTTTTTCTATTTTTAGTAGAGATGGGGTCTCACTCTTATTCAGGCTGGTCTAGAACTCCTGAGCTCAAACGATCCTTCCACCTCGGCTTTCCAGAGTGCTAGGATTACAGGTGTGAGCCACTGTGCCCAGTTTCTTTTATCATATTTGAATTTTTGATCTATCTGAAATGTATCTTAATTTAAGGTAGAAGGTAATATTTTATATATTTTCTGTTGCTACTGTGAACTGGCTCTTTAGTTTGTTACACTTTGACAATGATTGTAGTCTTAATGTTTATCTTTTAACAGACTACCTTATTGAATTCTCTCATAAATTTTAATAATTTTTCTCTTGGGGCTCTGATATGATAATCATATCATATATAATAACAATTTTGTCTTCTTTCTTACAATTTTTATCTCTTGTTTCTTTTTCTTGGCATCACAGTAGCTAGAACTTCAGGAGATGCTAAATAACAAAGGTGATTGTTGGCACTGTTGTCTGGTTTCTGACTTCAGTAGGAAGATCTCTGATGTTTCAGAGTTATATAATGTTGATTATTTTTCTAATTAATATTTTCTTGATATTTCTCACCTTCTTAAACTGTTTAAGACACTTTACGGGATGTTTTAGATAGCTTACTTCTCTTTTAAAAAGTTACGTAAATAGGCCAAGGCGCTGTGGTTCACGCCTGTAATCCTAGCACTCTGGGAGGCCAAGACGGGCAGATTGCTCAAGGTCAGGAGTTCGAAACGAGCCTGTGCAAGAGCAAGATCCCATCTACTAAAAAACAAAACAAAACAAAACAAAAAAAACAGAAAGAAATTAATTGGCCAACTAAAAAAAATATACAGAAAAAATTAGCCGGGCATGGTGGTGCATGCCTCTAGTCCTAGCTACTCGGGAGGCTGAGGCAGAAGGATCACTTGAGCTCAGGAGTTTGAGGTTGCTGTGAGCTAGGCTGATGCCACAGCACTCTACCCCGGGCAACAGAGTGAGACTCTGTCTCAAACAAAAAAAAAAGAAAAAAGAAAAAAACAATTGCGTAAATATGTATGAACACATGTGTTTTCATTTTTCAATAAATTTCCCAAGAAAGCAGATTAATGATGTCTACAGAAATCAGTTACAAGGAAGAAATCTGTCTTATTTAACGGGCACACTTTTTTATTCTTTCAACATTATTTTGAAGTCTGTCTACCTTTCTCATGAAACTTGGTTCCTAAATGACTTTTGGCAGGAGTATGTCATAGACAATAAAAGCCATTTCCAACAGAGTTCTACAACAATTTAATCAATACCTCTCAAAGTGGCTAGCTGACAGAATACATTGTAACTATACATTTAGATATAAAAGCTCTGTCTTGTTTTAAGACCTGTGTCCCATTGCTTTTCAGTCTCTGTACTATATACACAAATGGAAATTCTAGAAAACAAGCTAAAATTTTAAGTTTAACCAAAAAGTCAAGGGAAAAAGGAAGAACCTTGGATTCTGCAAACTGGACACAGAAGGAAAGGAAGTGCCCTCTTACCTGCACCTCGATTTGCAGGTCCTTGTCCAGTAGCGCCCGCTTCTTCAGGATCTCAGCTCTGAGCTGCTCTTTGTGCTTGAAGAGCAGAGCCGAGAGCTTGGTGGCGTTCTGCTTGCTACGCTTCTGCTCCACGCTCTCTTCCCGCTTCCGTTTTTTTGCGGCCTGTTTTTCTTCTTTATCTATCTTATCCAAAATATACTTCATCACCTGGTTACAGACAATCATTCTAGAGAAAAACACACACCTATGTAACACTGGGTGTTTATGACAGGCTTAAAACCTGATTCTTCTACACCTCTACGGATGAGACAAGACTTTCTGTGACTGGAAAGCTTCCAAGTGATTCAAACCAGTTTTGAGTAACTCTTAGTGCCAAGTATTCTCATTTAATGAACTTCAATCAAGGTAAAAAAATATATAAACTCAGAACTCTGTGCAAGTGGACGCTAAAGAGAAGAGACGAATAGACAACGAGACCCTGTGTCTCCCCGTCTCCCCTACCTTTGATTTTCTTCTCTTTCAGCTGGAGTCATGCTCTTTTTCTGTTTTAAATGTTCTATTACAGCATTATGCTTCATCACCACCTTCAGGACAGAACAAATTCAAAAGCACGTATTTTATAATGATCACGAATTAGCATACAGATAACAACAGTAGAAATCTGAACATATATATATGTTTTTCAAAGAACCTTTAACAATTTTATATCATAATACAAATAAAATTAGCAGCTACAAGATGGCCTGGGTGCTTACCACGTGTTGGGCACCGTGCTGCGCTAATCACTTGACATTACCTCATTTATTCTGCAAAAAAGACACTGAACCATAGAGGTGATTTTATAAAGGAGATACTGAAACATAAAAAAATTAACCAACTTGTTGGAGATTAAATAGTAAATACTATGTTGAAATTTTAACCTGGCTGTTGTTTGCTAAAGGCCATGTTTTGTTCTCCCAGGCATTAATTTTAAAGAGCTGCGCCTCATCCCCCCTTAGACAAAGATCAGGGCATAGACAGATACTGTAATAACTCTCAATTGATAGACTACAGTACTGAAAGCTGGGTAACAATGCATTTGAACATATTACATATGACACCAATTTTACAGGAATATTACATGTTTACAATCATGTTGCTGTTTAAAAAGTGCTTCTATAAATATGACCTCATTTAATCATTACAATAATCTTGTGTGGCTGGAAAGAGAGAGGTTTTAATGAAGATATAGCTCAGGGGAGATAAGTGAGTTTCATGGACTGTGAATGGAAGAGGAAGGAACTGAATGAAAGTCTGACTTGGAAATGCACACTCAAACTCCAGCCTACTGCTGAGTGGAGCATACCGTAAATGAAGAGAAAGTTTTCTCCAGTAATGCTATAGGGAATTATATATGTGACTTGATTTTAGTAGAATAATTCTAACTCATCTAAATTACCTTACTTCACTAAAATGCCAATGCAAGATGTCACTGCATGATGTCACTTTTTATTTAGGCTACAGAATAATATGTATTGAAAACTTTTTTACAAAGGTGTGACTAGAAATGCAAATGAGTCTAATTTGTCTATAATTTGCATAGTCTACATGCAAACTAAGAAATGACAACTTCAAATGAATTGCTATGATGCCTGAAGTGGCTTTAAAACTTAAGTTAAACCTTCAAGTTCTACATTAATGATACATAAAACTCATAACTCCATGCTTCCCGTCTTAGTCCTCCCAAAATACAGGTAGTTTCTAATAAGCACTGACTATATATATATATGTCCAATGAAGAGTTCCAAACCATAGTAGTCATTCAATATTTTTTGGTCAATCCAGAGCTTCTTCTAAATTTAAACATTAATGACTTTGTCTCAGTTAGGAAACCTAACACAACCAAATACTAAATCTAATGCACAGCACAATAATTCAAGCTACTGAACATGCTGCTTTTACTTAATAACTTTACCTGTTTCTGAATGATTTCACTTTGATTAGAAGCTTGGAGGGTGTGTTCACGCTTAATTTCTATCTGGTGCTGTTTCTTCTTTTGCTGCTGATCCCTGAGTTGCTGAACCCTTTGCAACTGCTCTTGCACACTGGCTGCCTGCACTGTAACCACATTCTGAATCTGGTGAGTTTGCACAGCACTGCTTTGCTGAATTTGAATAGGTAACTGGAGTTTGATTTGCTGGGGCACACCACCTTGCTGAGCCTGTATCTGAGCCACAACCTGTGACTGGATCTGAGAGAGAACCTGGACTTGTTGTTGCAGCTGAGGCACAGCAATGACTTGGGGCTGTGGCTGCTGTATTTGTAGCTGAGGACAGGATGGGGATGAAACAGTAACTTGATTTAACGTTTGTCCTGATGAAAGAGTTTGAGTTGAAGACTGTACCTGGGGTTGTGATTGTGGCTGGCCTTGGGAAGGTATCTGAAGAGATGTATGTGGTTGAATTGGAATCGGTTGTGAGGTTGTAGTCTGAACCTGGGATTGCTGTCCAGGAGACACTTGGGATGGAGTTGATGGACGTATTCGAGTCTGTGGTGGACTTTGGACGCGAACAGGAGACTGTCCTTGGACATTACTTTGAGGCTGGCACTGTGCTGCAACTTGGGGTTTGGATGACTGTGCTTGGGTGGGTTGTGCTTCAGAAGGGACGTGGGATGAAACAGTTGTTTGGGTCTGAACTTCAGGCTGAGTGTGAACCTCAGGCTGAGCTGGGGACTGGGGCTGGGTTTGGGGCGGGGGCTGAGCTGGAGGTTGAGTGGTCTGTGGCTGGGCTTCTGGAGGACTCGCACTTGATGACTGAGCTGCTGGCAGCGCTTTGACTTGTTGCACCTGTGTCACGGGTGATAATTTACTCTGTTTTTGTTCACCTGTACCTATGAAAGGGAAAGACAAACCATTTCTATTACTCCAGAACATAAGACTGTGGTTAAAGAAGAATGTGAAGCGGTTTTCTACGGTTCAGAATTCTTTATTTCTGTATAGAAGATTTATGCCTTAAAAATGCTCCATTTAGACATGCTTGGCGTAGGACTCTCCTAAATTGGAGAGCCTGATCCCTGCTTCTTGGCTGTCCTCTGTACAGTTCGCTAACGCTCCAGAAGGCTGTCTTCCAAAGCAAGGTGCAGCCTCTGGAAACCAGCCAGGTCTTCTGGCCCAGACTAATTGCCAAGCCTCACTTTTCCCCTACGGCGTGGTGGCAGTTAGTGACGCCTTGCAGTAGGAGGCTCACAAAATGGTTCTGGACCCACAGCTCTCAATCGTAGGTCATGAGCTGGATCTATCTGCCCTCCCTGAGATCGCCTCCATGACTCAATCAGCACCCACAAGGCTTGGAAAGGAGTAAGTGTGAGCGTGATTACCAGGATATCCATTGTTTTTGCCCCCTTTCTATATCTTTTTTTAATGAGGGTGGGTAGAGAGGTAGTGGTTACAGGGAGTCTGTATGAATAAGGCATGAAAGCATCAAGATGTTGTGAGACTGACTATGTCAATTGTTAAGCACACTGGCTTGAGGTATATCCTCCCAACAATAGCATTCGTTGTTTTTCTTTTCTTTTGAGATAGGGTCTTGCTCTGTCACCCAGAGTAGAGTGCAGTAGCATTGCCATAGCTCACTGCAACCTCAAACTCCTGGACTCAAGTGATCCTCCTGCCTCAATCTCCCAAGTAGCTGGGACTACAGATGTGAGCCAACACGCCTGGCTAATTTTTCTATTTTTTGTAGAGATGGGGTCTTGCTCTTGTTCAGTCTTGAATTACTGATTCTTTTAACCTTTCTGTTAGCCCAACAGTGTACGGTAATAACACCTAGCATTTCTGATAAACCCAAAGCTCTACCTGCTGCTGTAGTGGAAACAGTGGTGGTGGTGCTGCTGGCTGTTGCGGCTGTTGTTGCCAATGGAGTAAAGAGGAATCGCTGAACGGTACCATTGGGCATTGCAGCTTGCATTAGCTGCTGTCCTGGGCCTGGGAGTATAGTCACCCCTTGAGGTATCAACTGCAACTGTCCAGTAGTTTGACCTTGTCCTTGAATTACTACTGTCAAACCTTGATTGCCACCCTGTGGAAAAAGCACACATGAAAACAGTCACCTGATATAAAACATCAATCTGTATGTATAGCATTTTAATTTTTTATAGATATACCACGCATAGAAATACCAAAAAAAAAAAAAAAAATTTTTTTATAGAGACAGGGTTTTGCTATGTCGCTCAAGGTGGAGCACAGGGGCCATTCACAGGTGTGATCATAGTGCCCTGCAGCCTCAAATGCTGGCTTCAAGCAATCCTCCTGCTTCAGCCTACAGAGTAGCTGGGACTATAGGTGTGTGCTACCATGCCCAGTTTGTATAGTGTTTTTATTAAATCATTTTAATCTTATAAAGATCCTTTAATATAATGAAAATGTATATTTGAATATCTATGAAATGGCACCAGCGGGAATTTAGGTAAGGTAAAATAAGAATATTTATGTCGCTTAGTGAAAAAAACACAAACAATACAGAGTTCTAGTTCAAACTCTCCCACTGGACAGTTTGGTATCTATCTATAAGCAACATCATTCCTCCAATTTCTCAATCTATAAAACAAGGGCACTGAGGCGAATGAACATTGTCTCCACAAAATTCTGATTTTAAATCATCTTATATTCATATTTTATAATCTTCAAAGCATATTCATTTAGACTGCTTCATTTGACTCTCACAATGGACTTGTGACAATAGGCAGAGAAAATATTACTATAATCCTATTCCCAATTAAGAAACTCAGGTTAGAAAGTCAAGTCTCCTACCCAAGTTAAAGATGTCATAAAACAAGAAACAGGTATTCTGAATTTTGTTTCTTTTCAGTATGTACTAAATTACCTTTGGTATTTGTGCTAAAGTTGAGTTTATATATAAAGTGAGGCAGTGGTCCAATTTCACAGTTTCCCACATATATTCAGTTGTCCCAGCACCATTTATGAAAACTAAAAAGTCTATCTTTTCCTCAATCATCTGGAATGTAACTTTTGTCTTATAACAAGTGTCCACACATGTGGGGGTCATGTTCTGCACTCTATTCTGTTGGTCTATCTGCCTATTTTTGTGTACTTCACTGTATTAGTTACTGAAGTATTATAATAAGTTTTGATACTAGGTTATCATACAGGGAAAATCTTCCTGCTCTTTAAAAATATCATGGATATTGTTGATCCTTTGCACTTCCATATAAATTATAAAAATCAGCTTGTGAAAGTTCCACCAAAAAAAACAAAAAACCTCTTGGAATTTTGAAGGGAACTGTATTCAATATATTCCTCAATATTGGAAGACTTGGTAACAGTATTTATTCTTGCATACAGCAGCTTAATGTACTTAAATTTTATTTTTCCATGGCAATTGGCCAATTAATAAAATTTTGGTGGCTAAAAGGGTTATCTATCTCATTGGTATAACTCACTAAGGACTCTCGATAGTTTGTGTTCATTATACCCAAGTCAAGGAGACAGTCATTTTTTAAAACCAGTACATTTTTAAACTTATCAAAATAATTATGTTTTTAGGCTGGGCACAGTGGCTCAAGCCTGTAATCCTAGCACACTCTAGGAGGCCAAGGTGGGAGGATCGCTTGAGGTCAGGAGTTTAAGACCAGCCTGAACAAGAGCGAAAGCCCATCTCTATTTAATTAAAAAAAGAGTATGTTTTTAAACTTACAGCACGAATAAGTAAGATTGCCTCTAAAGTTACATTTAAATACTTTAAATAAATACATTAAAATAAAGTTACATTACTTACATGGCCTTGTGTTAACTGAGTGAGTTGTGCCATGGTAAGCTTCACCTGTCCTTGCTGGGGGCGAGGGGACTGTGAGGGTGACGACTGTAGGTTTGCAGTAGATGCTGCTGAAGTTATGCTTTTCTGCCCAGGTGTTGAGGAAACTGTGTTAGAGGCAGAGATTGCAGTGGAAACAGGCTGCCCTCTGATGATCTGAGTCACCACTTGCTGTGGAGTACCTACAAAAACAGCAAAAGATTATGAAATCCTACACGCTCTTGGTATTACTTTGAACTGAAATAAATCAACACTTCAGATGAATGTATTCATTTCAATTTTCAAAAAGACACTGGGATGCCAACAGCTCAAGGATACATTCAGACATATGCTCATACCCAAAAGACCTGCCTGGTTGGTAGTGAGCCTGTTTTCATTCAGCTCATTGAAAACCATTATTAAGCCCCTGCATTCTGTGGTCAAATTAAAAAACAATTAATATTCTTCCTATAAATGTAAAGCCAAAATGACAATCAGAAATACAAAAGAGCATATGTAAAATATGCCATTCATAATGCTGCCTTTTGTTAGGAATATTGAAAATAAAATAATCTTTAATTCATATGAATTTTAAACAAAATAAAGAATCTGGAGTATCTGGGCCAAGTGCATTTATAAATAAGCTTCTATTACAGCTATTTCCAGTTTGGGAAAACTATGAGGACAAAGATCACTATATTCTCAATACTAGGGCAAAATGCTCAAAGAATGCTTTCATAGTAATTGTTCAATAAATGTCTGCTGAATAAATGAAGTTTAAGCAGAATGGCTTTATAGTCTTTCAAAAACTTCTGTTTGTAGTTTAACTTCCTAAAACTAGAAAGGAAGGCAAGTGGAATTTTCCTCCCTATAGAATAGTTGCTAAGAGTTAATTATTTGGTAGCTATTTTGACATTTACAGATTCATTACTAATTAGTCAATAACCCCTGGATGCAATAGCCCATGCTTGTAATCCTGGCACTTTGGGAGGCCAAGGCAGAAGGATCACTTGAAGCCATGAGTTTCAACACCAGCCTAAACAACAAAGTGAGACCCCTTCTCTACAAAAAATTTAAAAATTAGCTGGGTGTGGTGGTTCACACCTATAGTCCCAGTTACTTGGAAGGCTGAGGTAGGAGGATCGCCTGAGCCCATGAGTTTTGAGGTTGCAGTGAGCTATGAAGATGCCACCTCACTGCAGCTTGGGCAAAGGAGACAATATCTCAAAAAAAAAAATTGAGTACCATCAAATTCCTCGAGTTTTTATATTTACTTCTTGCCTCTTTTCCTTCTGTGCATACATATACATTTCTCTGTTCCTTTTAATGACTTGATGTTTTCTATACATTGCATATGTATAAAACTGAACCTATTTTGATGTTCAGAAATGGGTTAAAATAATGCCATGATGAAATCCTTGCTTATACATTTTTGTGTGCTTCTGATAATTTCTTGAAAATAAACTCCCCAAAATATTACTGGGTTTATAGCAGGCCCAAAGTATCGAACTAGGAAGGTCATACCAAGTCACACTCCCACCACCTCTGCATGCCCATCTCTCTGTACCCTGCCAACCTAGGTATCACCACTAAAATAAAATATTCCAGCAATTGAAAATAACATCATGGTATTATGGTGCCTGAATTTCCTCAATTACTACAGAAGGTTGGCATTTAAAACCATTCCAAGTTCTTGTGCTTAACTTGTGAACTCTCCACACTCTGCCCATTTCTCTACCTTTTCTACTTATTTAATATGTATTTTTAACACACTGACTGCAATTCTAGAAAAAATTTTTTTTCCTTTAGGCCAGTGTTTTATTGTGAAAACAGAATTAAAACTTCAAAAATGGCCGGGCGCGGTGGCTCACGCCTGTAATCCTAGCTCTTGGGAGGCCGAGGCGGGCGGATTGCTCAAGGTCAGGAGTTCAAAACCAGCCTGAGCAAGAGCGAGACCCCGTCTCTACTATAAATAGAAAGAAATTAATTGACCAACTAAAAATATATATACAAAAAATTGGCCGGGCATGGTGGCGCATGCCTGTAGTCCCAGCTACTCAGGAGGCTGAGGCAGGAGGATTGCTTGAGCCCAGGAGTTTGAGGTTGCTGTGAGCGAGGCTGACGCCACGGCACTCACTCTAGCCTGGACAACAAAGCGAGACTCTGTCTCAAAAAAAAAAAAAAAAAAACTTCAAAAATAAAATGGTCCTTTTTAATTTAATGAAAAGTTTATTTTTTATTATTTTCTGCGAGTTATATGCAACTTGAAAAATAGTTCTCTTGGCTCCCAAGGTAAAGAGACATGTGACTTACATATGCTTCATGAGTCCCCAGGCTCAAAACTAGTATGAGTTAAATACAACTCACATGGCAGTTAATATGTGTTAAATAATGTATTTTTCCCAGCTGCCTTTTAGTTTTATTTATTTCTAAACCTATAAATATTTTTTAATGTGGTCAAATAGACCAGTCTTTGTTTTCTTTTTTTTTTTTTTTTGCTTTAATTATTACTTATAAAGTTCTCTTGTATTCTCTCATTAGATATATCTTCCCAAGTATGTTCTTAGTCATGGTATATGTTGTAAGTCAGAAGTCTATTTGGCACCCCCTATCCCCCTGCAAACTATAAACCAATTATTTTAGTATCATTGACTGATTCAAAATGACACCTTGTCATACAGCTAGTTCTCATATATGCCTCTTTAACTGCATCTGTGTTTCTTCCTTTGGTATCATGCTCTTAATTTGGGTGGCTTTACAATATGCTTTAACATTATAACTGGCAGTGCCAGTTTTCCATTATTACTACTCCTTCAAAACTTTTCTTGGTTACTCTCATCCATTTATTCAAGATTAATTGATAGACAATACAGCCCAGTGTGGTCAAGTGCTGTAATTTGAGAATTCCCATAGCAGTTTGAGAAACAATACATAAAAGTTATCACTTAAAGATGATCACTTGGTATTGATATACTGCCATCATAAACACAGATAAAAGGAATGGTACTGACTGATTTTATGATGGTCATCCAGATAAGACCCAATATGTACATGTTAATTTATTTTTAGATCAAAATGCAAATTAAAAAATTTAATAATTTCCAACTGTATCCCAGGAAGTCTGTGGTTCCATCTTAAGAAAGGCTAGTGTGGTGGTAGGAAGGTTTAGTTCCAGTCTGATCTTCGCACACATGGAAACACACCCCTCGCCCACCCACCCAGCCTCTGCCTCTCTCATCATAACTCCTCTGACTCTCTCGCCTTCCTCCTCTTTCCTGGGTCACTCTTGATCCACTGGCTACCTTGCTTTTCCTTGAACATACCAGGCCCACTCCCACCTCAGGGCCTTTGTATTTGCTGTTCCTCCTTCATAAAAACTCTTTCCCCAGATATCTACACAGCTTTCTTAACTTCCTTCAGGTCTTCTAAGAGAGTCCTTCTGTGGCCATCCCTTCTAAAATTTCAACCCTCCCTGCAAATCATTTCAAACTCCCAATTCTACAACATTTTTATCCCCCGCCTCTGTTTTTCTAAGTAGTTATCACTATTTAACATGATATATATGTAAAATTCATATGCTATTATAGAATAATATATTTAAAAATATATACAATTAACTTATCTGGTTATTGTCTATCTTTCCACTAGACTATATGACTCATGAAGGCAGTTATTTTGTCTGACTAGTTCCTAACTATAGTTATCTCAGCCTGGAACAGTGTCTGGTATGTAACTTGTACTGAGTACTTGGGAATCAGACAAATCTTATTTAAGTCCCAGAGTAATAGCTTGAGAAATTCCTCAACATTCTGAGTTTCAATTAGCAAAAAGAAATAAAAAATAAAAAAATCTCCATCTGTAAAATGAGGATAATGTAACTACGTACTTTATATGAAGATTACGTGAAAGCAACCTACAAAGTGCATACACCCTGGTACAAAGTAAATGATCAATATATTACAGCTGTTACTTTACCATTGTTACTAAGAATCAATTATTTAAAGGTAGATTTTGGCTAAATTACATTAAATACGCACTGCATAGCCAGGTGGCAGGGTTGGGCAGTTCATTTCACAAACCCCGTTCTCATTGGGTATTTAAGACTTCAGGGAAAAAAAGTGGCAAAACCCTAGTGGTGGGGGAGGTTTGGAAGCTGCAGATCCACGTGTGGATATCAGACAAACATAAAGTTATAGCTACATAAGGCATTACTCAACAAGGTCTCTACATAACTATAGTACTACCAATATTTATAGTTTGGCAATTTAACAAATTTTTCAGTTTTCAAGTTATACTACCTTTTATCACCTATAAATTTTCTCTTTTACATTATTTATATCTTCCCTTTTAGTAAGCTGCCTGACAGCTATAATTTTTAAACAGGAATAGACAATTTTATCAACTATCTCTGCAGCATTAACTGAAATAATCTTCCTTTCTTTTCTGGGTTAAATGCTGCTTAGGCACAGAACACTGCCTTTAAAAAAAAAAAGTTTTGCTATGTTTCATATTAGAATTGTGCTAAATTTGTAAAATGAATGGTTAAAGTTTTATCTATCTTTCCCCATGCCCCAGAACTAGGTTTTACAATAAGGAAATTATTTGTTTCCTAACTCTTTCTTTCTTTCTTTTGTTTTTTTGAGACAGAGTCTCGCTTTGTTGCCCAGGCTAGAGTGAGTGCCATGGCGTCAGCCTAGCTCACAGCAACCTCAAACTCCTGAGCTCAAGCAATCAATCCTACTGCCTCAGCCTCCTGAGTAGCTGGGACTACAGCCATGTGCCATCATGCCTGGCTAATTTTTTCTATATATATATATATTAGTTGGCCAGTTAATTTTTTTCTATTTATAGTAGAGACGGGGTCTCGCTCTTGCTCAGGCTGGTTTCGAACTCCTGATCTCGAGCAATCTGCCGCCTCTGCCTCCCAGAGTGCTAGGATTACAGGCGTGAGCCACCGCGCCCAGCCTGTTTCCTAACTATTTCAAAGAAATGTTTACCCGTAAATTAATTCATGAAGTCTGGAATTCCTTTTTATAGGTAACACTATGACAACTTTCCAAATTTCTTCCTTTGATATGACTCATTGAGACTTCCAGTTTATAAACACAGTATTTAATTATGCCTTGCTAGTCAAGCAGAATTAGTTCCTAAGTATGGATAGTGAGAATTCTGAAAGTCTCACTACAAGGACACCTACACAAAATTATCTTTTGATTTTAAAAATCTCATTTTATTTTTATTGCACTTTCTTGTTGTCTAATTCTGTGAAGTGGCATTTTCCACCCTTTTCTCCAGTTGAGAATTGCAAAAGAATAGTTTGTTTTAACATTTTTTGCCTTTTCTGTTTTCTAATAATTATTACTTGTGCTTTTATTGTATTTCCTCCTCATTTTAAGACTTGTTTTTATATATTTTTCTAAATTGTGATTAAGATTTAATAATATGGGTTTTTTAGTCTGTTTTATTCACTAACACATTTCAATTGTGGAGAGTAGGTGCTCGAATATCTATTGAATGAACTGAATCTGCCTCTGAGTTCAGCTTTGCCATCATGGCTTGCTTAATACTGCTATTTGATAATTTGTGATTACACATTTGATGTTTCTTTAACCTAAAAGTTATCCCAAAAAAAGTTACTTAGAACATATATTTTTTAAAATTCCCAAGCAAGTAAAGGTTATTAGTGTAATATCTTAATATTAATTTCTAGCTTTATTTTAAAGAATGTGGCTTATATACATTCTACTTCTTGGAATTTACCAAGGTTTTATCTATGTCTGAAGGATCATTTTTCCACCAGTTAGCCCATAATTATTTAAAATGAATGTGTATTTCTGAAAGTATAAAAGTTGATACACAGTTTAACTGTAGTCTGCTATGCTCCTGTTAATTCCTCCTTGATTTCAAACTTTAATGACATCTTATTTAATTTATAATGATTCAAGATTACATTTTCATTCAATCTTTAGCTTTAAACCAATATAAAATGAAACTCTTTGTCATAATTATTTTCTGCTTTTTAAAAATATTGAATTCTTTCACAACACAGTATTCTTGGCCAAAAAAAAAAAAATTTAACAAGTAAGTAAAATATTGAATTCTACTCTATCCAATATTAGCAGGGCTGTCCTTGTCCTTTCTTCTTTGGCCTTTATTTCATGTGTCTTTGCTCATCTTTTAATTTTTTTACCTTTTGTAGCTTTTGTGGTAATTTGATTTTAGGTATGTTTCTCATACATGTATAGGGTTGTTTTTTTTCTCAATTGTTATAGTCTTCAACTTTAAACATGATAATTTTAACCTGTTCATATTAATTGTGATAAGAAGAGGTCTGGCCTTGCCTTTGTAAAAATTATGTTTCTTTGATGTTTCCTTGACCTTCTCTATAACTTTTGTCATACAGACTGTTTTCTTTGCTCTCTTTATTAACTTCAAATACTTGGATCTACATATTCCATTTATTTGCTGCTTCTTTTACATTTTTAGTAAGCATACTTGAACCTATTTTTCTTATTGGCAATGCCAAAAATGAAGTAATATATTTGGATGCATCTCACAATGGATTATAAGTTTAGTATGGTTTCAAGTATTAATTCAAATTGGTATTTTATAGTATGTAGAGTGCTAAACACAGAGCATTACAGATTTCCTAGACTGGTTGTTTAGATGTAACATGATAACACTGGATGGATGAATACCTGGCTGTACCATCACAGGTGTTCGAATAATTGCCTTTCCTAGTGTTGACTGTTGGAGTGGTGTTCTAATCACCGTCATACCAGGGCGGATCTGAGGCCCTGTGATTACCTATAAATGACACAAAGGACAATGAATTAAAATGTTTTTAAGAGATTAAAGCATGATGGACTTAGAACACAAAATCTTTAAACATTCTATATTGATAGAAATGTCTACAGAAATGACAGAGGCTCTTGGATATTACATTTTAAATTATATTAAGCATCAGAATAAAGATGGAATTTTGAGGAGAGAAAATTTAATTTAATTCAAATGCTATCATATAAAATTCCTTGCCATGGATATCAAAAACAGCCTACAGACTAAAAGGAACAAACAAGACCCAGTAAGGCTCCGCTCTGTAACTAGTTGTCACAGAAAAATGTTGAGTCCTACCTTCTCTAAGCTCCAATTTATTCCTATAACCCAGAGTAAATCAGAAACCAAATGTTCTGTCATAGTTTTATGGGAGAGACTAGGGAACACATTATTTTCAGTTTTACAGTTAGGTTCAGAACATTTTCAAGTTTGCAAACTTTAAACCTTTTCCATAATATAAGTACCAAAGAAATGATGTATTGAATATGTGCACATATCAGCTAATAACAAACCATTATATAGTTACAGTATGTAGATTATACTTTTCATTCTATTTCTTAACTAGGCTGCACAGCAAGCTTGAGTGGTCCAGTGCTGCTCATTCTTTCATATAAAGAAATTTTCTTTATAAAAATCCTAGAAAGCAATTGTTATTTATAAACTTACTAATGTGCTATTAACTAAATGTTAAAAATTAATACTTCATGTATCATTTTAATTAGAGAAGAAATAATTTACTTATAGAACAAATAGATTTATTCCAAATTAGTACTTTGTCACAGATTAAGTAAAAAGCAAGCAAAATTAGCTGTATTAATCTTGGAAGAGGTCATTCTAAAAATTTCAACCCGGTGTGCTCAACACTTCAAAACAAAATAAGTCTGTAAGAAATCTTACTTGTGAAGTGCTTGTGGTGCCTCCAGAGCCTGAGGTATTGGGCCTAATTGTGACTGTTGCTGTCCTGGGCTGGAATGAAGTAAAGGTTTGCTGACTTGTACCTGTACTTGATGGAATGATACCCAGGACTTTCTGCTGTACTTGAACAACACCTTAAAAAAAGATGAAGAAATGATTAACAACTGTCCCTTTAACGAAAAACATTAAGCGTTGCTTGGTTTCTGAGGAGAAACTACGTGTGGCACGGTTTTATAGTGGGCTACATAGAATGTGAGATCCGAGGACTGAAACCAGTGAAAAGGAAATGAAAAGTAATGGCAACAGTATGATCTGGCAAATGTGAATTAAAACTCTTCACATTTCCCTTACCTCCTTGTGTTGCTGGCACATTTACAGCGACAATCTTGCTGTTTGCAGGAAGTGGCAGTTTGGTAATTACTTTTCCTGCCATAGTGACTGGATTGCCTGTAATTTGGAACGTCTGACCTGTGCTGGCAATGGTTGTAGCAGATGTGGCAGCTGTGCTGGTGGCTAATGGGGTATAAGACATTTAATAAGCTTTAGATTTAAAATAACCAGCAACGTAGTGACTTCTAGGAAGCGCACCAATGCATGAAATGTGGCTCATTTTGTATTTTAAATAAAAAAACATTCCTCTCCACTCAAAGTGAACCATGTAAATGTTGAAAGTGAAATAATGTGAGAGGAGTTTGCTAATGTAATATCATGAACATTATCTGTAACAAACGAATTGTTACAGCTTGTTTGCTCAATCAGCTGCAAAAGAAAAACAATTTTCTAAAGAGATGTTTCATTTCAGTAGGTAAAGGACTGAAAATTCTTTTTCCTGAATGAAAATGATCTTCTATTTAGTCACAGTTGTATACCTGAATTTGACTGGCCTTGCTTAACCCATGTAGCAAAGGTTTGATGGAAGTTCTTGTTTTGCTGGAATGTTACTGTAGCTGGAGATCCAACTTTAGTAGTTAGTACCATTTTGGTTCCAGTTGTAACAGAGCCACTTATGGGGGCCACCATAACTTTCTGTGCTGGAGAGATGGTACTGGTTGTACTATTTGTTGGGGAAGTAGTGGAAGTTGAAATCACTGTAGGCTTCTGTTGCTCCAATCGTTTCTAAAAAAAGTCACGGAGAGAAAACATGAGCCAAAATAGTTCCAGATAAAAACAGTATCATTCTGAAAGAAGTCCAGATACAATTTCTCTGACCCTAAGAAACCACACTAAATTTCTAAGATATTTTACTTCTGAAAAGAAAATATGCCCATATAAATTTATACCTGAATTTAATTTCTTGATGAAGGCAATGTTTTCAACAGTCTATACCACATGTATTTCATTAAAATACTAAGTTGTTCATAACAGAAAATGAAAAGTAATCAAGTTTTTCTGGCCTGAGCAAACATCCAAACTTTCAGACTGAAAATAAATAGACATAGGTAATCTTACTGGAGACAGGAGCACCATGCTGCTCAGTTGGTGAGATTCAAAGCAGAGACCAAATGAAGAGAGCTGTAAAAGGTTTCTATTTACTATAATGTTAACTTATCCAATCATAAAGAGCATGTCAATAGTAAATATCACTATTAAAGTTGGCAAATCCATAATTAAGCAAGCTGAAAATTATAAAACAATTTTCTAGATTTCTTATGTTATTCATTCAAACATTTTTATAGAAAAACACTTCAGATTATTTTATACAGAGAGGTATAATATTGATCTTTAAACTACAGGGCTATTAAAGATAATCTGTACATCTTTTATTACAGATTGCTAAAATTTTCTAACAGCTTATCAACAGTGGTCTGATGAATAACAGTATAAGCTTACACACGTAAAAACAAACAGTGAGATTTACTGCAAACATGGTGGCAGATGTTTTAAGACGAGGAAACTGAGGCTCAGAGAGTTTGTGTAATTGGCCTGAGGCCACAGAGCTAGTTAATGGTGGAGCTGGGGTGTTTATTAAGATCAAATTCCAATGCTGTACTGTCTCCTGTCATTGCAAACTGCTTAGCTATGACATAACACCCAACATTTTTTTAGAACTACTTTTGTATACACCTTATATACCAGAATATGATATGAAGTACTTTGCACAATTTCTCATTCCCCAAAAGAAAAGAAATTTATCGTGAACACTCAGAGACGTCATTAATTAAATCAGTTAAACGGGAGGTAAAGAAACCGAACACATATTTAGTGGTTATTTTCTGGGGGATAAGCCTTCAGAATTGAAGTGCTGGCTATCTTTGCAAATAAGCATTTTAAAGAACTTTTAAGAAGTAGTACATTATGTTACATTGTGGAGATGACAAAACACACTCATAAGTGAGAAATATTAATAAAACAACTATCCAGTTGTTACATGAATAGGTATGTATGCTTGGGGATAAATTTCCCGTAAGAGCATCATACACAGAATCCAAAAGTGCTGTTATGTCCAATTTTGGCATAATTGAAGACAAGGACCTATAGTAAGCCAAAATATACGTAAGAATTTAGGAAAATGTTTTATAAAATGTTAGAGAAAAAAGTAGTTTGAGACAAATAATTTGGCTTATATGTGATTTTTATTTATTGAGACAGAGTCTCACTCTGTTGCCTGGGCTAGAGTGCCATGGCATCAACCTAGCTCACAGCAACCTCAAACTCCTGGGCTCAAGCAATCCTTCTGCCTCAGCCTCCCAAGTAACTGGGACTACAGGCATGCACCACCATGCCTGGCTAATTTTTTCTATATATTTTTAGTTGGCCAATTAATTTATTTCTATTTATAGTAGGGACGGGGTCTCGCTCTTGCTCAGGCTGGTTTCAAACTCCTGACCTCAAACAATCCACCCGCATTGGCCTCCCAGAGTGCTAGGATTACAGTCGTGAGCCACCGTGCCAGGGCCTACATGTGATTTTTAAATAGTCTGTTTACCTATGTACTCAAAGTTCATATATTCAAGTTGGCTAAAAACTTTTATAATATGTTCTCAATAGAAATAAGGGGCAATCATCTTTTATCTGGGTCTCAAATTCCCAGGCAGATATAGTACATTATTTGCAGTATGAACATGCTCAGAAATCAATAGCAGCTCTATGATCATCAATGACAATAAACTCTTACAGAGCTTTAGTACAATCTGCTTTTTCATAGACTACAGAGATTTTCCAGATTGGAATTTTGTAGGAAAAAATTATTTCCAGAAATTACCTGTGAAATTATAAAGATAATAAATAATAGAAATCTTATTTCAAATGTCCTCCAACTACATACACTGTTCACAAAATCATAGCTTGCTGTACCCACAGAACTATTTTCAACTAATAAAAACCAGGTATATGTGAGATACATTAAAAAACCCACATGAATATATAATTACTGTGCTCTTGGTGTGCAGGAATTGGGCTAACGATGTAAATTTGTTGTCAGGGAGGACCAGTACCAACTCCCCACCTGCTGGACAGCCAATTGCTACTGTTTTAGGGGACTCCTCATTTGGGCCTTGATGTCCTCCCCCTTCTTCTGTTCACTAACCTTAGCCTGTTGCTCAACTGCTTGTGCCTTTTCTTTCTCCACTCTGCAGGAAAAAAAGGAGGAACTTATCAGAAACTACCCTGTTAAGCATCTGGCATCTAATATAAGTGAAATCTGGCTTTCACATCATACAAAGGTATGAAATTATTTCAATTTAAAAATATTTAAGATAACTAAAAATTGACAAATGGATAGTAACACATTAAAAATCAGAAACAGGACCTTAATAAACTATATAGAGCTAGCAGTCAAAATTAAAAGGTAGAGTAAAATTAACTAGGATGTATTGAATAAACCATTAAAGTGATAATTCTTTAGTTCTGAAGTGATAAAATCTTCAAATATCTGACCAGGTGTTAACCATTTCCTTACCTCTCAGCAAACGCCCTGATCTCCCATAGTTCCAACTCTTCTTCTGCTACCCAGGTTTCAATAATAACAGGGCCAGTTTGCTTGGGCGTTTCTGGTCTCTTTGGCCGCAATGCACTTGATCGAAGGCCTTTCCTCTGAGGTGTAGGTGTTTCTTTGGAAAATAAATCAGAGTATTTTAAAAGCAATATTGCTTTAAAAATTAGAGTACTTCTGGTATCTTCCATCATTAAAAGCAGTGGTTGGCAAACTTGTTCTTCTTAAAGGGCCAGATGGTATAAAGACTATGCAGGCCAGATGGCCTCTGTTACAACTACTCAACTCTGCCTCTGTATCATGAAAAGGAGCCAAAGATAATACTTAAGTGAGTAAATGTGGTTGTGTTCCCATCAAGTTTTACTTATAATAAAAAAGTAGGCAGTGGGCCAAGGCTCATGGGCCATGGTTTGCTGACCTCTGATATACAACATCCTTCAAAGGCCTAGAATGCTCCTCTCACAGTTGGGTTGGGTGTCCTTGCCACATATAATTATGGCAATATGTACTTCCCATCACAGCTGGACCAGGGGGATTTGAGAGTTGCTAATATAAAGGAAGATCTGAAACTAAAAGAATAGATAAAACCCCCTAATGATAAGATTTAAAAATAATAATCAGGGAGGGATAAGCACTGAACCTTCCCACAGGTTTAGGGTACAGAGAAGCAGTACAATCATAGGGAAGCAGCAGAAGGAAATTGAAATAGCAGGACCTAGATGGTACAAAGTGATACAAGCCAAAGAAAAGTGATTCAAGGAGACTGCACTGGTTTGCATCAAAGGCTATCAAGGAGATTGAGGACCTGTCAGGATGGTCTTCTCCTATCTGTATGTGTGCCTATCAATAGAGATGACTGTTTCTATTCCAGGACAACATTGCTTTAATTAAGCTAAAATTCAACATCTACTAGGACAGTTGTTGCCTTATTCTTTTCAAAAAGGCCGTTCTTAGTCATTTGTTTCCTAACAAGAACTTCCAAGTTAATTTAATCAAGTTCCAAAAATTATATGTAAGTATTTGGGAGAACTAGCTTTCATAAAACAGTGTTTCTATCTATTCTATCTAAGAACATCATTTTCTTTTTGCACATTTCCTTTTCTTTCTTTCTTTTTTTATTAAGAGACTGGGTCTTGCTCTGTCACCCAGGCTGGAGTACAGAGGCATGATCATAGCTCACTGCTCCTGGACTTAAGTGATCCTCCTGCCTCAGCCTCTCAAGTAGCTATACATTTCTTAGATTTTTCCCCCAAATATTTTTATTGTTTATATAAAATTACTGACTTTTATTTATATATTTTTAATTTGGACACCACAATGAACTCCTTTTAGCATTAATATTTTTTATTTCTCACAAATTTTCTAGGCAGACATTCATAATTACCTGCAAAATAGTGTTAATCTTGCTTTTTTTTTTTTTTGAGACAGAGTCTCGCTTGTTGCTTAGGCTAGAGTGAGTGCCGTGGCGTCAGCCTAGGTCACAGCAACCTCAATCTCCTGGGCTCAAGCAATCCTTTTGCCTCAGCCTCCCGAGTAGCTGGGACTACAGGCATGCGCCACCATGCCCGGCTAGTTTTTTCTATATATATTAGTTGGCCAATTAATTTCTTTCTATTTATAGTAGAGACGGGGTCTTGCTCTTGCTCAGGCTGGTTTCGAACTCCTGACCTCGAGCAATCCGCCCGCCTCAGCCTCCCAGAGTGCTAGGATTACAGGCGTGAGCCACCGCGCCCGGCAATCTTGCTTTTTTTTTTTTTTGCTTCTTTGCTGATATTTACCGTTTATTACTCTTTTTTATTTTATTCGAACACATTAACACTTGCTACCATAATACTAAAACCTTTTCTTTGCTTCCTTGAGAACTGGGGCCAAATCTCATTCTTTTATATACTTGCTTCCCAATGCTTATTCTATATGTGGTCTATAAATGTTTCCTGAGTAACTCTTGATAATTATTATTTCTACCTAAGGACTTAAGTATTTCACAATAGCTTTAACTCTTGAGTCAACAAACTTTTATTAACCACTTACATGTCAGACTCTGCACTAGGTGTGCCAGGACTACAACAAACCAGACTAGGTGGCTGCCCTCTTGGAGCTGACTGCCCTCTCACTGCCTCACATTTTAATTATAAGAGGTATTATCATGGTCCATGCTTGGCACAATACCTGTAGGCATCAACATGTGCCTCATAGAATCTTGATATGTTTATTACTTAAATATCATTTAAAAAATATAGCAGTTATGAAAAATGTTTTTCATAAGTTGAACACAGTTATAGGAAACAATTATAATCAAAATTCAATTCATAAAAGATATGGCTGACAGGTCAATAATGGAAGAACAGAATTCTTTCCATTCCTTACCTTTTGGTGCTTCTGGAACTCCAATGGGACAAATGATTTTCCTGATACAATACTCAGATCGAATGCCATAAGGACCAACATCTCTCCTCTTAATTATTTCAGTTGTTGTGATTTCAGTTTCAGATGTTTCTATGGTGATTTAATTCACAAAGTATTAATAACCACCTAAAATACTCAGAGACTAAGAAGGTACAACATCTGGTGTTATAAAAAAGAGACACACATGGAAAATACTTTTGGAAACATTTGATTGATTAATGACTACAGGATCACTGCTAGACTGCAACAATACTTCTTCCTCCCTGAAAATTTCTATACGGAACAAAATGCTGCTGGGCACAGCTCAGCTCATGGTACCAAAACTGAAGTCAAGATAATAAAAGGCCTAAGATAGAAGCAACACACACAGGGTTCTAGAAGTCTTAGTTTATGACTTATATCTATAATAAAAAACTATCTTAAAAAATATGTAGATGGTTCATGAATAAGTGACTCACCTTATAATGTGAGCGCCCCCCCCCTCGTGCCTCTTGGGTTTTATAGCATGTATCGTACTTTAGCAAAGCTGTATTTTTAAAATGCAAGCATTTTATTTTAATAAATAACAAAGATGCTTAAAATGAAGTGAATGGTCAAGTGATTTTATCTTTTAAACTTAAATTAGAAAGTAACGCCCCTTACCTGTCCGTGTAGTCCCTGCTCCTGGAGGAGCCTTGGCTGCCATGTCATCCCACCTCAAACTCGCCCACAGTAACCGTAACATCAGGCTCACCCCGGCTAAGGACTTCACAGTCTGAAGTCTGTATCTGAAAGAAAAACCCAAGAAATCCATATATATCACACACACACACACATACACTCTCTCTCTCTCTTTCTACTAAACTGAAGGATTGTGTTCCTTGTTCTCATTATGACTTCAGTATTTAACATGGTTTTGTTAAGACTTTGGTATTATGTCTCTTTAAAAAAGAACTTTTTGCTCACAGGCATAGCATGCATCTAACACTTAAAAAGGGTCTATATTCACTTTAAGTACCATATAAATTTATAAAGTGAGTGTGTTCCATAGTAAGGTTGATAAGGCAATAATTTTTGAAAATTTTATAAATTTAACCTAATTCTAAAATGTTATGAAATTTATGAAGATCAAACACAGAGAAATAAATAATTGTTACTAAATGTGATAAAGGAGTTTTGAAAAAGGAAAAATCATAACTGATTAATTTTTGCTAAAATGAAAAACCTGGACATGTTTAAATTTTCTCAAAATGCAAAATAAAAACACTTTAAAAATCTAATAAGATTTTTTCCAAATGGACAGAAAATTTTGCGTCCAAATGGTGGCTCTTCCAAACATGAACTACTGGATGATGAATACTGCTAATACTAATAAAACTTTGACATTAGTATTGTTTTGGAATCCTACGAGTAATAAAATATTAGAAAAAGTACTATATTAGTTACTAATCAGCACACAAAGAAATCTGTGTTTGTGAGTTTTTTTGTTTTGTTTTTCTAATGCCCATCCATGTTTGTGTTTTTTTCGAAGCATTGTGTACAAAGTTACTGAATATTTTAGACATTCTTTTAAAATACTAATACTAAACACACATTTCAAAATGAATTTATTTAACTATATGAACATCATCCTAAAATTGAATTCACTATAAAACATTTTAAAGCAGCCTTAGGCTGTCAATTCTCCATTAGGGTCTTTGTGTAATTAAAATACTTTGTTGACATTTTTATACTACTTAAATGAATATATTGTTGACTGCAGCGCAGATAAAGCCTATAAAAATGAAAATAATTTCCCCTCTAACAGATGTAGGAGGTAAATCTTAGACAGCTTTGTATTTGAAAGGTAATGCTTTCTATTATTAGTATTTCCTTGGAAAAATGGACAATGTGAGAAAGAAAAAGCTCTACCCAAAAAGCTGTTACAGCTTTCTAACTTCCCATCTCCCCTTATGACACCATGATTTTCTTCATTGTGTTATTACACTATAAATCATCTAACCTGGAAAGAACTATTTTAGAGGAGAAATGTTAACTAATGCAGGGATGCCCCAAGAGAGGGAAATGCCTGCCACTTTCAGACCACCCATAGAAATTCCTAGGGAACTTCAGTCTCACAAGGGAAGGCAAATGAACATTTATTTGGAAAGAAAAGTTCATCCTCATTCTCTCTCTTCTATCCCAATCACTCTCTATAGTCAAATAATAACTTTAAATCATCCCTATTTTAAAATTGAAATAATACCAGGGAAGGAACACACCTCATGCATTATATTGGCCTGCTCATTCAAATATTCCTGCAAAAATTATTTGAGTGTCTTCTGTATGTTAGGCTATGTTAAAAGAACTGGGGACACAAGTGAATTAGATCTGTCTCTCTGTTCTCAAGGAGCTGTATGACAGAAACATGTAAGGGAAAGACATCTGATTTGGCTCAGGGACAGGGATCAGAGCTTTGCTGGAGTCTGAAAGGACAAATTAAGGGTGTGAGGATTGCTGACTGAAGGTGAGGGGCACACAAATGCTAAGGAGCAAAGTGTGCAAGAGCACACACTTGTTCCCAGAAACTGTATCTAGTGTGTTATAGCTGGAGGGAAGGGGTGTGGAGGTACAGAAAAAGATGAACGAGACAGGAAGGCCTGGCATGAGACAGGAAGGCCTAAGCCAGAACGTGCTGCACTAAATTGAAGGATTAAAGAAGAGCATTAAGGCTATGTATATTAAGGCTTCTGAGATTTACTCAGTATTGGACAGGTTGTAAAGGCAAGTACTTCTCGTGGACGTGATCTACAGGTGATAAATGCTCTCCAGTCCTTTCCCTCGCCCTCCCTGCAGTAGCTAGCAAGTCCCTTAGCTCAGTCAGAATGTCCATACCCCTGCGCTGGCACTGCGGAGGACAACTGCCAGTCCAAAGTGATAATGAAGCACAGAATCAAGGCCTGGGGAAACGGGTACGTGGGAACAGACAGTGTGGAAGGAAGGAGGTCCTAATGAGCCTATGAGACACATTTCTAATATTCTTCAGACTTATTATTAGATTAATAAAGATCATACATGTGCCTTTAGCATTCTTAGCCCTTACTCTAATCACCAGACATATTTTATTCAAGTTTTAGTATAAAAACATTTCACATGCATGATTTTTTCATAGTGATGTTTTTTAAAAAGGCATTCTAAAGTCAAGAACAATTAATATATTTACCCATGCCTCCATTACATAAAAGAGATTATGCTTCTCTAAAATTTGTTTCAGCAAATTAAGATGTTAGCATATATTTGAGGGCAATATCTGCTTAAAATGTACAGGAAGGTTATTTCCTTCCATTAAAAAAATGAGAAAATAGATAATACAAATTGTGCTACAGTGCATATTAAAACACGAGAATTCAAGGCTCCTGAAACTCAGCCATGCAGAACAGGGCCCTGGGCAACACTGGATCAGGACTGGGGCCTAGTTCTCCTGGAGAGTTCAGAGGAGAGTGCTTCCCAGTTGAGCCTACCCTCCATTTCAGAATACAAACGAGCAGAAAGGTGGCCTCCACAACTGCCAGGTCATTTTAATTAAAGTATTTGTACATAGTAACTTTTCCAGTGGGAAAGAAGTTACCTGCAGGACAGTCAAGGATACATTTTGGGACCGCTCTCAATGAAGAAAGCAGAAAAGTGCAGAGTAATCCTATAAATCCATGAATTGTAATGAAGAGTTCCTTGATTCCCTGCAGGATTCTGCAAATCCTTCATTGCAGGCCCTGCAGAGAAATTGTACTTTTCAGCTGTCTCTATTGAATGTGTAATGGAGTGATGATACTTTATTTCAAATCAAAAGATGAGTTATAAAAACCTTGGTCAAACAAGCTATGGTTGTATTAATAAATGAATTCCTTTATAGAGAGCGCTTATTTACATTCTTTTTTGGTCTACTACTAGCTGATTGTCATATAAAGGAAACAAAGTGTGATTTTTAACTTACACTGGAAACATATTAAAAGACACACAGAAATGAAGCCTAAAAAGAAATGAAGTTTGCTCAGTAACTTGCTGAAATAATTTCAGAATCCTAGCAAAATCTAACTGCAACTAAGATCAATACTGATTTCTAACGATGTTCCCAGAACTCTTGTTTTCAATGTTTATGTTCCATCCTTCTCAATTATAAGGGTGAAAAGATAAAGACAAGCACATGAAAAAGGTAAACGCAAGGACAAATATGTGAAATGTGATATAGCAGATAAAGTACCAGACTAGGATTTACAAAAACTGGGCACTATTCCTAACTGTCTCTCTGTAGCCAGACGCAAATTATTGCACATCTACAAAAGATAAGAATTTCTAGGATCCCTTCCCAATATAAAATTATATGATTTCACAACTGCCAAGGCTACATACTTATGACTTACCCCCCCAAACCTAAAGTGCCCAGAAAATTTTAAATTAGGACTATTTCTGGGTTTTAAAAAATTCCTAAGTAATCTAGATACTACCTGTTCATACATAAGTAACAGAGAACTCCAAAACAAATGCTTATCCTGCAAATAAATCATATCAGGAAGATTTCCATATTATATTATAATGAACCTCACGAAATTTATAGGCATGTTTCCTTATGTCTTATGTTTTTATGAATTATCTAATAGAAATAAAATACAAACATTCCAGCAAATTGGTGAATATCCAATTCTGTGATTATTTTGTTCCCAGGGCAAATACATAGCAATAACTCGGAAAGTTAGACCACAAAAATAATCACATTTGACATGTTCCTTTTTTTTCCTTTGGAGACAGAGTGGGACTGTTGCCCTGGCTAGAGTGCAGTGGTATCATCACAGCTCACTGCAACTTGAAACCCCTGGGCTCCAGTGATCCTCCTGCCTCAGCCTCCCCGGTAGCTAGGACTATAGGCATGAGCCACCTTGCCGGCTGAATTGTTTCTTTTGTCTTGTGAAAATTACAACTGAATTTCATTTTAAAGGACTCTCTTAAATTTTAAGTCTTTAAACATTTTTCCCTAAGTAAACTTTACTACCTACTAGGTGGCCAAGCTTGAAGCTTCCTGTATCTTAATTCCATTACTAACTTTGGCCATTAAATATATGTTTCCCTGTCTTATCTCTCTTATTTCTTACAAGATATTTTAAAACTTTCTCCCTCCCCCAAATACATTTTAAAGTACATACCTCCAAGTGATACCAAAGGTTGGTCTAGGAGAAGGATATGGCCATATATCCAAAGCAGGTTTTGCATTGTAATTAAAATATGGGACTTCTCGGATTCCTCCTTTTCTGGCCAACTTTTTTAAGTCATCATTAGGCAAAACAAATATGCTCTTCTTGCTGCTCTTGGTAATAAACTTTCTATAGGATGGCAGAGCTGTACCTGAACGAGCCTTCTTTGGTCTTGAAAATTTCATCAGTTTCACTTTGTCTCTTGTGGAATACTCTTTGCTCACAGTCATAGATGTTACCAGTGTACCTCCTGTGGTGGTTAGGGAGTCTGTCACTGTCGTGGTGACCACAGTTTTGCTCTGTTCCTTAACAGAGATGATGTCCACACTGCTGCCTGTGGAGGGCGTGGAAAGCTTTGTTACCGTTGTGGTGGTGGTTGTGACAGTGGATTTGGCACAATTTTCTGTGGAGGAGACCACAGTTTGCTTATCGCCTTTTTCTACCTTGATCACAGTTTTTGATTCTGTGGCCACCGTGGATGTCATTGTGGTGACTTCTGTGATGACTGTTTTTCTTTTAGATTCTCCATTGACATTTTCATCTTTGTTGGTGGGCAGACTATTTTCATCAATAAAATCATTACTGAGATTGGATTCCTCTCCAGAAGTAATAGGTGATGGAGTACTTTTCTTAACTTCTAAGGTTTCAATTTCCATATCTTCTACCTGGTTGACTGAATTGCTTTTTGGGCAAGATGGTGGAGGTGTGGTAGTCCTTGTTCTGTCAGGCTCTTTGGTTGATGGCAGGGTCTCAAGGCTATCTTGGTAGTCACCTTCATCAGCATCTGAAGAACTCAGTAAACATGATTTTGTTTCCGAGTTATTTTTTTCATTAAAATCTTCCATGATGACATCACCATTAATGAATGGCTTTACAGCAGATTCTTTAACAGTCAATGACTTAACATCATTTTCAGGGATTATTTTATTTATATTATTAACCTTTGGTTCAACATGACCACTTACTATTTTACTCTCGGAGATTTCCTTCAAGCATTCACCTTTCAAATATACTTTGGGTTTATTATCTTTTCCATTTATTTGAAATGTACTTGTTTTCTGTCCTTTCTTTTCAGACTCTCGATTTTCATTATTCTTTTTGTCAGTGATATTTTTTAGATTTATTTGATCAATACATTTATTAATTGGTTTCTCTTCTAACTTCTGCTGACTTGGTTTTTTACCATTTGCTTCAGCTACCTTACCCTGCAGCCTGTCATCACAGTTTCCAGTGGACTTAGCAGAAATAAACTCATACTTCAATGGCTCCAAGCCTTCAATACCTTCTTCTTGAGTAATGAATTTCTCAGAAATACTTTCATTGCTATTCTGAACAATCATATCTTCTTCACTGCTATCTTGAATAGACATAGTATCAGAACTATTTTCCAAAGTGCTATTATATTCAGAGTCACATCCCAATTTTCCTTCAAAGTCCGTTGCCTTCGAAAGAGATGGGGCATCTCTGTCACTGGCACTGTTAGATACTGATGAAAGTAAAGTACTCTTAGAAGAAGAAAGAATGGTGTCATCATCCTCCTGTACGAGTGGTTTTTTGTTCTTATAGATCAAAGTACCAATATCGTCTGCACTGGCTAGTTTAGAGTCATCAATAAAAAAATCATTTCCTTTTGTTTTAATCTTATTGGGTTCCTGGCCTTTACTGGCAGGTTCAGAGGGATTCTCTTCTATATCATTTTCAACAGAATTTTGTTTCTGACAGTTTGTCTCTGGGCTTTGAATGGTGACATCATCTAACACTTGATCTTTTGGATAAAGTTTGTTTGTGGTATGACTAGGACCACTGAGTCCAAGAACTGAGGAATCACTTTGTGAACATCCCTGAATTGAGTCCTCAGATTTATCATTACTTGCACTAGGGCTTTGTTCTTGTTTAAGTAAGTCACTTTGACACCCTTCTTTTGCTTTTGTTGTTACTGGTGACTCAGTGAGACTTTTCAGAGAACCTGCAGAAGTCTTTCCCATGCCCTTCATTCCACCCTCCAACTTCATTTTTTCAAGGCGCTGTTTTTCTTCCAGTGTAAACTGTTTAATTCTCCTTTCAAGAAGTCCATCTAGTTTGGATGATTTTGTTTTCTTTTTATAACTAGTCCTTAGGTGAAACCCCTCACTGACATTGACTACATCTACTTGAGAACTTTCCTGACAATTTATATGTGACTCTGTTTTCACATCATCATCTATTTCCATTGGTTCTTCCTTCAAAGATTTATCATTGTCGGAATCTAAAAGTTCTTTTACATCTATGGGGGGAAAAAGACATTTATATAAATGTAATTTTTATTCTGAAATAAGGAATTCATGAGACTAGTTTTATTTCAAAAAGTACCTATATTTCTCATTTCACTCTACAGCTCAAATACAAACATCTATATATATCAAAGTTCCAGATATATGATAAAATTGGTCAGTGGACAGGACTAAATTTTATAAAAGGTTAAAAAATACACATTCTAAATATTTAAATATTCTGATTATTATCTAAAAATGATGGAATGCCATAATGAAAAATTACTTAGTATGTGAGAGGCTATTGTGTACCTGACTACCTTCATATATAATTATATATAGTCTTTTACGGTTATAAAATATATTTTGGCACATACGTTACCTAGCTCATCTAGTTTTTAAAAAACTACTTTTTACAAAAGACAATGTAAATTCCTGAAAAGGTTAATCATAGAGTTACCATATGATCCAATAGTTCCACTCTTAGGTACATCTCCAAGAGAAGTGAAAATATATGTCCACAAAAAAAACATGTACATGAAAGTTCAATAGCAGCATTATTCATAATAACCAAAAAGTGAAAACAGCCTAAATGTCCACCAACTGATGAATAAATAAAATGTACATATCCATATAATGGAATATTATTCAGAAATAAAAAGGAATAAAGTGCTGATACATGCTACCACATGGATGAACCTTGAAGACATGCTAAATGAAAGAAGCCAGCCACAAAGGACCACATATTATCTGATTCCACTTATATGGATTGTCCAAAATAGGCACACGCATAGAGACAGGAGGAGACTGGTGGGCTGGGGGTATCTGGGGAGGGATTGGTTAGTAAATGCTACTGGGTATGAGGCTTCCTTTTAGGAAAAGTTATAAAATTGACTGTGGTAATGGTTGAACTCTGTGAATATACTAGAAACCACGGAATTTACACTCTGAGTGAATTATATGGTATATGAACTATACTTTAATAAATCTGTTATAAAAAAAAAATGCAGTACCTTTCCTACTGTGGGAACCTGATCCAGTGCATTATCACCCCAGGCCGCCCTCCACACTCAACTCTCCTTACCTGGGTCCTTCTTCTCAGTAATCTTTGAGATATCCATTTCACTTTGGTCTGCCCCTTTTGTAGCATCTGAATCTTTTACCTCATCTTTCTCAGAATCAGGCTCTGTTTTTATTTTGGGGGGGCTTTGTGGACTTTTTCTTTTATCTGATTCATCCATATTTTCATCCATATTATTTTTGGCTAAAAATAACCATATATATATATATATGGTAATTAAATATACTTGCAACATTAACAATTTACTTTAATATATCTAGTTTAGTGGAAATAAGTATTTTCCAGCAAGTTATAGTTCATATTTTCTAAAACAAAACAAGGCAAAAGTCAAAGGTACCATATACTTTCCTGTAAGTCCGGCTGACCTAAAGTACAAAAGGAACCACTGATTTTTAGATGTATTTCAGAATCTTTTGTGTATGAAAAATTATCTCAATCTGCTCAATGATTCCAGAAAGTGTGCACCATTGGTTTCCAATTTACTTTGCGTCACAGAGCTCTATTAGACAAATGCTATGATCCACTATTCAGAAAAAAAGTACGTGTACAAACTTTTGTAATCTACTTCAATGGATTCCTGGACCTCTTGAGGTCCTCACGGACTCCAGGTTAAGAACACTTTTTACAGCACAGAATAAAAGACTTAAGAGAAATAACCAAATGTAGTATGTGGCCTTATTTGGACCTGACTTACTCCCAACAGTAAAAAGATGTCTCTAAGACAACAAGGGCAATTGGAATATGGAAGGAGAATCAGATGATTCATTTGTTAATTATAGTTAATTTATTGAATGTGATAATGGCATGGCAGTTATGGGAAAATTGTCCATTTGATTTAGAGATAGATACTGAACTTCTGGTGAGATAATATGATTTGGGGGATCTATTTTAAAATATTGCAGGATTAAAAATGTGGGCAGCAACAATTGAAAAAAGAATGACAGAATTTGATTACTGTTGAAGCTGAATGATAATTACATGGGAGTTCATTATTCTATTCTCTTTACATTTGTGCATTTTCAGATTTTTTTTTTTTTTTTTTTTGAGACAGAGTCTCACTCTGTTGCCCTGGCTAGAGTGAGTGCCATGACGTCAGCCTAGCTCACAGCAACCTCAAACTCCTGGCTCAAGCAATCCTCCTGCCTCAGCCTCCCGAGTAGCTGGGACTACAGGCATGTGCCACCATGCCCGGCTAATTTTTTCTATATGTATTACTTGGCCAATTAATTTCTTCCTATTTATAGTACAGACGGGGTCTCGCTCTTGCTCAGGCTGGTTTCAAACTCCTGACCTCAAGCAATCCTCCCGCCTCGGCCTCCCAGGATAATCCCAGTGCTAGGATTACAGGTGTGAGCCACCACGCCTGGCCGATTTTTAATTAAAAAAAAAAAAAAAAAAAATCAAACCCCCAAACCCAGAATTACTGTCTGGATGAATCTAATCTTGGGCCTTAAGAGGCATTTTTTCACCTTTTACTTTCTTCTTCACTTGAACCTAAACATCCCAAGGACTTAGCAAGGTGTATCTATTTTTTTATGTAAATAATTTCTTCCAGAAAAGTTTGGCTGAGGGAAGGAAAAAGTACAAAAAAACAGTACCAGCAGGGTATTGATAAAAGAGGAAAAAGAATCACAGAAAAGGGTAACAGGCTGTAAACGGACCTCATGGGTAACAAAAGGATAAAACTAAGCTGACATTTCCTCATTTAATCCTTCTTTGGTTATGTAAAAACAACTAGGTGATATTTTTTCAGTTTTCAAGCTGATCAAAATGAGCTTTGTATGCCAATGGTACCCCTCAACAGCTGTAAGAACCCTGATAATTAAAATAGGCAACTATAAAATGTTTGAGGTCCTCTTTTTTTTTTTTTTTTTTTGAGACAGAGTCTCGCTTTGTTGTCCAGGCTAGAGTGAGTGCCGTGGCGTCAGCCTAGCTCACAGCAACCTCAAACTCCTGGGCTCGAGCGATCCTTCTGCCTCAGCCTCCCGAGTAGCTGGGACTACAGGCATGTGCCACCATGCCCGGCTAATTTTTTATATATATATCAGTTGGCCAATTAATTTCTTTCTATTTATAGTAGAGACGGGGTCTCGCTCTTGCTCAGGCTGGTTTTGAACTCCCGACCTTGAGCAATCCGCCTGCCTCGGCCTCCCAAGAGCTAGGATTACAGGCGTGAGCCACCGCGCCCGGCCTTAAAGGTCCTCTTGACATAAAGAATATCCGATACATACTCTTTACTGAAGCCTAAAAATGTGCAACACAAATGCATAGCATTAGAGCTGCACTAGAGGTTAAAGATAAAGGGCACACAGTCAGCAGCCAAACAAGTCTAATGCTAAGGTCTTCTGACACCAAGTCAAGTGTTCCCTAAACTGCATTTCTCTGTTTTTCAACACATCTGTCCTCCATCATATGATCATACTAGATCAGCCATTATTACAGGTACCAATAGTTCTGACATTACTAATTGGTGATTACTGTTGCCATCACTGTAATTCCTTTTCTGTAGTTAAGCTAAGTCCAGAGCCCTGGACAATGTGCATCGCTACTTTCTTGCCTGCTCCACCTGGGAGGAAAGGCTCAAGAAAGACCAAACTGGCTCCTGACTAGATAAAACTCCAGAATTTGAACAATGGAAAATCTTATGTTAGGGAAAGTAGATCTAAAATAAGTCTGCAAAAGCCTAAATATTCTGTATGTTGATCATCTGAATTTTATTACATAGGAAAAAAAGTTCTCTATAATTCTAAGTGTCACATGGATAACAAGAGCAACAAAATGGTAATAAAATAAACTATAATGATCTTTTGGAAATTATTATAATGGATACTTAATGTAAAGGTAATAAGAAAATAGAATCAAGTATTAAATATTTCTATTTACTAAACAGAAATATTTCTTGAGCATCTACTATGTCCAAGATGCTCCTAAACCCTACAAAATATTTTCCAGTGAGTCTTATAAAATATTTATTTTTCTTGTTAAAAGATAAACCAATGATAACTTTCCTATGTTAACAGTTTCACAAATCTACCAGCTCAGGTTTCACAAGAACCATTCAAAAAGAAACCAAATCAGTTTTAGCTTAGGTAAGAACAACAGTACTTACTGCATACTACATCATCTCCTTATATAGGTTTCATAGGAGGAAACAGATCACAGTATCAATTAGCAAAGTAGATTGCACAGCTAACAGAATTGCTTTTGAAAATTGCTTAGATAACAAAAGAGAGACTGCAAAGGTAGACAGCAAAAATGACAAGAAAGCCAGGAGACGTGGGTTCTGCCAGGGTTCTATTACTCCCTATCTGTGTTAACTTCAGTATGTCACTTAGCATTGCCATGAATTAATTTGCTTATTTAACACAAGTTAAAAAATCTGTGGTTTCTTAATAGAGCAGTTCACCTCTAGAGTTCTGTGATTCTAAATACTAAAGTTTGTTAGCCAGTAGTAAAAACTGAATTAATAGCTCATTTATATGACAGTGTTATGGAAGCCTCTATCATTTCTTGTCTGGTTTTGTTAGGTAAAATAATGCTGAGGTTACCAGATATGTGACGCCTCAAGAAGTCTACTAGTACTGAATTTAAGATTCTGAAAAGCCATAATTAGGTGGCTAGGGCCTATTTTTTTAAAAATAAGCTCTACTCCATTATCTTTCTTTAGCAGAAATTCAAGGTAACAAAATCCTGTGGATAAAGTAATTTTTAAAACTTCAGAGTTTATAATTAGTAAACTACATTGATAATTTCATATATACTACTTAAAATTCCAGAAAAATACTTTTATCTAAAATATGGTCAATATAAACAAGTTTATAAGAAATTAAATCAGAAATAATTATGTAGGAAAATAAACTTTACTTACTTCCTTCTATTGATCTTCTGTAATTCACATTAGTATTGCCTGGCAATTTAGGAACAAACCTATAGACATGAGTTTTACTAATCCAGCTCCAACCACCATATCCTGTCACTCTGTACTCCTCTCCTTTTTGTTTCCAAACCTGGTATGAATGAAAATATTTTGATTAAACAAGAATGACAACACTTTTATTTTTTTTTTATTTTATTTTTTTTATTTTGTTTGTCTCATTGTCAGAGAGGGAAGGCAGACAATAATTTTAAAGCACATATGGTTTTACACATTTTTACCAAACAAGATCAAAAATCAGTCAAATTAATTAAATGCATCAATCAATTTAATTTTTACTGAGAATCAAAGATCTATGAAAGAACTTAAGTCTTTTTTAATATGCAAAATTTAACACAATTTTGTGATTTTATAACAATTTCAATAAATTGGTCTCATAACCTTCCCACATTCTACTAAGATAAACCTATGCAAATTGCCAGAAAGATGTACTTCGTCCCAATAATATTAATTAAAAGACTGTGTCAAAAGTAAAACAAAATTAAGTATTCAAAGTTGCAAAATAAAAGGCTCAGAAATGGCTAACACTATTTTATTTTTAAAATAAAAATTACCTGATGTTTAACTGGAAATGTGTATTTTACCCACGTAGCTTGCTGCATTGTTTCTTCTTCTTCCTGTTTTTTCTCTTTTTTTTTGACTTTCTCCTTTTCTTCCCTTTCAATTGATGTCATCCTGTGTAGCCTAAGAATACATGGATAAGGAGACAGTTACATTTAACTCTGAAAAAAGATAGAAATGCAATACTGAAAATTATGAAGGCAAAATCAAACACTGTTAGAATCCTACTAGTAACCCAGACACCCCAACTGACAAAAATTAGATACAAAATTTCATAACAGGAAAAGTCAAAAGAGTACAAAAAAAGCAAAACCAGAAAGTGCTAATCTTTCCATATGCCTCTCCATAAGAAATACTTATGAGTTACTCCTTAAAAATTTCACAAATATACCGACATTTATGTGTATCTTTATATAGTCATTATGTGTTTACACAAAGGGTACCGATAGCATACATACACACACAATTATAGTTTTTAATCAATGCATAATTATACTAGAAGATCTTTCCACATCAGAAAATACAGATCTTTTTAAAAAATTAAAAAATATACCACTGCATGGAAGTACTATAATTTATTAAACCAGTTCCTTACTAAAGGACATTTCCAAAGTTTTTTCCTTCCCAAAAAAACCCCAACAAATCCAAAAACATTTATTTTATCAACCAATATTTCTGATTCTCTCTAGCATTGAGGATTTTAAAGGCTTCACAGGGTCCACTAACATAGTATTCAGGCTTCCTATATCCACAGAGAAAGTGGCCCATGAGACTCCCACTTTTGGGTGAGAGGAAGGATTTCAATCATTAGACACTCATTCTCAGACAAGAAAGGAGTTATTACTGCACCTACCAGTAAGGGGCAGGCTTGTGGTGAGGCTCTATATTTAGATGATTAGATTTTCATAAATCAGAATATTTCTCATAAACAGAGACATGAACCAAAACCTATAAAGAGAGAAGCTCGTCTCTCTAAGAGCTCTAGTGGCAGAACTGCTTTATCACATCCTAAGCAAATGCAGCCAATTTCTTACGCACAGCTATGTGGAAAGATGCGAGAACTTTTCTCAGTTTGGGGTAGTGGTGCTGGAAAGAAGTGGGAAGGGATTTAATTCTTTTTATCTCTATTCACCCCACAAAAAATCAATCTCTCCCTCCCTCTCTGTCTCTCTCCCTCTCTACCCCACCTTCTTTCCTCCCTCCCCACTTTCAGAAGGCTTTGTGTCCCTGTGATTGTAGGACCCTGGAGTACAGCCTCCCCAGGCTGACAGCTCATGCCTATTAATCACACACAACTAGTATAGCAAACATTCTCCATAAGGCTCTTACAGTCTCTCATAAATTGATGGGAGAAGGGGAAAGGGCATGGGTTTTCACTGGGAACTAACCTGCTGATTCAAATACTGTCCACCTGCCAACACTCTGGGAACTCAGGAGGAGGGCAAGCTCTATAGCCATAGCATGGTGGTGACCTGACAGTCTCAGCCCACAGGCATAAGGAGGGAGTGACTATGTCAGGATCAAGTAGTATTTCTCAGAGTTTTTGTGGGCTTGGCTTTTCTACACCTGTGAAAGGCCAGGTACAGCATAGCAACTGAGACATCTACACTGACAGTGGCCAGGAACAGAGCACTGTGTGGAGAATGCTAGCACAGTGACAGCCTGGGAGCTCACAGGTTGGCAGGGTACTCAGTTTGTGTTCTTGGTGTTCTCAAGGCAAACAGGTCTTTTCTCACTGTCAAATACAAAGGCTTCACTTTGTGGAGGATACCAGACCAGCTGGTTAGTGTTATGGCTAATATGTAATGTTAGCTCTCCTTGGGTAAATTTCTATCCTTCTCATAGCCACCAAGACAATTCCTTAAGGGGAGAAACAGTGACATAGGTAAGCTCAAAAGGAGCTCAGTTCTGTTTGTTGGGCTACTTTTGCTACTGCTGATAGCCTGGAGGCCCCAGGAAGGAAAGTAGGGAGGGAAGCCGCTCCATACATACTTGGTAGGTGCACGGATGGCAGATTTTCCTTCCATGTCTCTACTGTCCAACTAAGAGCTTGGCCAGAAGAAGGGGCTGACCCTCAACCCTACTCCCGACTCCAGGTAGTGCTCAGACTTTTTGCTGCTGCTGTTGTTTGTTTCTTAAGAGAGAGAGTCTCTTTCTGTTGCCCAGGCTAAAGTGCAGTGGCACAATCCATAGCTCACTGCAACCTGGAACTCCCGGGCTCAAGCAATCCTCTCATCCTCCGCTTCAGAAGTAGCTAGGACTACAGGTGTACCACCATGCCTGGCCTCAGAGTTTTGTTGTGTTTGTTTTGGTATTCCACTCAAAGCTACAACAGATGACGTCTTATGTCTTTCTTGGTAAACCTGGGGAGTATCTCTTTGTATCCTCAGAGGTGGGATGGCTGAGTCCAAAAGTTCTTATATTTAAAATGCTGACAGAAACCACAGTGCCAAACTACTCTTCAGAATTGTGCATGTCACACTATCACAAATTATAAAGCCACCTGGCTCTCCCACACCTTCACTCATGCTGAATTAGTATCAAACTTCTAAGTTATTAGCCCATCTGAGGGTAAAAAATACTATCTCAACCTTCTTTAATTATTAGAGAAGTAATTATTTTTTATGGCTACTGGCCTTTCATATTTATTTTTCTGCAAAATGCCTGTTTAAATCCTTTGTCTTGTCTGTACTGGACTTAGTCCTTTTCATATATAAACGGTCTTGGCCAATTACGGAAATTTTCCATTTGTGTTATAAATATTTTTTCTCAGATTGTTATCTGTCTTTTGAGTTTGATTATAATATTTTTCCACTCAGAATTTTAAATACATGTATCCACTTTTTTCCTCTATGGCATCTGGGTTTTTCTATCTGTTTAAAAAGAAAGTATCACAACAAAAACACAAATTAATTCATGCTTTGATATTAAAGTTTTCTTTAAGGCTTTTATTCTTTTTAAATCTTTATCAATCTGAGTGCTTTTATTAAGGCACAGACTTAAGTGATATTTTCCCCAAACATGCCGTCTTTTCCTTTCTGATGTGAAATGCTACCATAGCCAAATTCTCACATGTGTTTAGGTCTACTTCTGGATTCTATTTTATCCCACTGCTTTGCTTCTTCTGTAGGGCAAATTACTTTTATTACTGTAGCTTGAAAATATGCTCTAATACCTATTCCCTTGTTTTCCTAATACCTATTTCCCTTTGTGGCTATATTGTTGCCCATTAATTTTTCTAGCTGAAGTATTAGTATCATCTTAATCAAGCCTCCCCTGCCTTCAGGATGAAAAACCCTATTTATAAAGTATCGTTTTAAAGACTATTTTACACAGACCTGGAATATGTCTCGTTAAATTTATTCCTAGGTGTTTCAGGCTTTTTTGTGGTTGTTATTGTTGTTGCTAAAATCTTTTCTTTCATTATAATTTTTTAAAATATATAAAATGCAACCAAGTTAAGAAATAAAAACTTTATGCAACCTACTTATTAAGGTTCCCAAGAAAACATTAACTTTTCTCTGGGTCACAGTCTGGCTATAGCTTTCAGGAAAGTTTATTAGACCTCTTTTGGTGAAACCAGTGAGTGAGGCCACAAGCAAGGCCTGGAAGATACAGGGCTCACCACAATTAGGGTGTCTGGTAGGACTGCAGTATACAATAGGCATGGCATAGCAATATGTCCAAGTGGACTGCTCTGTACTTCTTGCTTTTCTTCTTTCTAAAGGCTACGCGGGGCCGGGCGCGGTGGCTCATGCCTGTAATCCTAGCACTCTGGGAGGCCGAGGCAGGTGGATTGCTCTTGAGGTCAGGAGTTCGAAACTAGCCTGAGCAAGAGCGAGACCCCGTCTCTACTATAAATAGAAAGAAATTAATTGACCAACTAAAAAAATATATACAAAAAATTAGCCGGGCATGGTGGCGCATGCCTGTAGTCCCAGCTACTTGGGAGGCTGAGGCAGGAGGATAGCTTGAGCCTAGGAGATTGAGGTTGCTGTGAGCTAGGCTGACGCCACAACACTCACTCTAGCCTGGGCAACAAAGTGAGACTCTGTCTCAAAAGAAAAAAAAAAGGATAAAAAGAAAATAAATAAAGGCTATGCGGTATAACCTGCAAAAATTCTATTTTCCCCACTGACTCAGGATATGACCTTCTTGGGTAGACTACCATTTGTCCATCAGCATTACTGCTTCCAAAATTTTACTGGTGCTGTATTCTCTGCTGTTCTCCCTGTTCCTGTGGGTCTATAATGTAAAAATCCTTTTGCCATAGCTTTAGAGAAGAACAGCGAACAAAAATCAATGTGTTTACTTAATTTGTTGTTTTAACGCAGACTATTTGTATACATGAAAGCGATTGTTCAGTATGCTGCCCACCTTATTTTTCATTTTGTTTCTGATAGTCATCCAGTTAATTTTCTTGGGTTCCCTAAGTACATGATTAGAACAACTGCATATGATATAATAATTGTGCATATATCTTTCTAATATTTATATGTTTTATTTCTCTTGGCAAATTGCACTGGCCAGTACTTTCAGGAAAAGTTAAAATACAGTGTGTTAGTGGGCATCTTTATTTTGTTCCACCAGAATGTTGATGGGAATGCTTCAAAACTTTCACCAAAAAACATGATAATCTGGTTTGAAATACATCTTTACCCAAAAAAACAAAAAAAAAAAACAAAAAAAAAATGACTTAATATATTCCTATTTAACTAAGAATTTGTGAAAACCAAGAATAATGAACTTAAGACAAATACCTTCTTGGCATCTACTGAGATGATCAAAGTTTCCTTTCTTTGACTTCTTAAAATAGCATGGTATTAATAATCTCCTAATATTGGACAAGTCTTCCATGCCTAGAGTGAAGCCAATTGAGCCATGGTTTATTATTCTTTTAATTTACTCCTGAATATACTTGCTGATATTTTAATTTCTTGTATATGCATCTATTTGCTATTATTAATCAATGATAAATATTAATAAGGGAGATAGCACCATAATTTTCTATTTACCTATTTCTACTTATCAAGTTTTATTAACAGTCTTATACTAACAGAAATAAGAATCTGCAAGATTCCTTTTCTTTTTCTATTCTGGTGGAAGAGTTTAAATAGAATTATCTGTCTCTTGAAATTGGAGTAAGAACTTATGAAATCATCTGGTTCTGCCCATCACCTTACTGACAGGTGCAGTGATAAATAGAACCAGAAATCCTTTTTCCTAAGAGTGTGGCCTTTGCCCTAATGGCTGAGATCAGTGTGGTCTCTCCTTCCCAACTTTTCCCCACTACCCAAAAGGAACTCGGTGGGGCCCTTTCTCTGTGGATGTAGGAAGCCTGAATACTATGTTAGTGGACCCTGTGAATGTTTTAAAATCCCCAGTGCTAATAAGAGAGAATCAGAAATACTGGTTAATGTGCCCCTTTTTTTTATTCTTGATACTGGTTATTTGTGCTTTCTTCCTTTTCTTCCCCTTGATAGTCTTATCAGAAGTTTGTAAACTATAGTGGTATCTAAAGTATGTTTGTTTTCTATTTCATCAAATCTGCTCCTAGCTTTAATATTTCCCTTCTTTGGTTTGACTCCTTGAGATCTACCCTGCTAACTAACTTGCAGTTTTTCCTTTTCTAACATAAGCATCAAAGGCTATCAATTTCCCCTAGAATCTCTTTAATTGCATCCCACAAATCTGAATGTATATAGTACTTTCATGAACATCCAAATCAAAATGTTTTCATTTCATTAAAATTTTTCTGTGACCTTTGTTATTTATTAAGTTTTAAGCATATAGCCCTTGAATTGCTTTAAACTTTTACCACAAATGTCTATAACCCTAAACAATATTGTAACATTAGCATACATGTTTTTATGGAACATTATAAGGAACATTCTTCTACATGTCTTCTCATGCACATATGGTAAAATGTTTCCCTATAGTATTAGGTAGGAATTGAACCTTCCTTTCTTTCTTTTTTTTTTTTTCCCTGAGACAGAGTCTCACTCTATCCTGGTTAGAGTGACACCTGCAATGGTGTCATCATAGCTCACTGCGCCTCAAACTCCTGGGCTCAAGTAATCCTCCTGCCTCAGCCTCCCAAGTAGCTGGGACTACAGGCACATGCCACCACGCCCAGCTTTTTTTCCCTATTTTTAAGTAGAGACCAAGTCTCAATCTTTCTCTGACTGGTCTCAAATTCCTGACCTCAAGTGATGCTTCCATCTCAGCCCTCCCAGAGTGCTAGGATTACATGCGTTGAGACACTGTAACCCAGCGAACCATATTTTTAACTGTTTTTACCAAACTGGTCTCTATTACTCTCTTGTCAGAAATGTATCACAATTCTCTTCCTATTATATAACTTCTTTGTCAATATTCTTTAAATTTCTGACAATCTGATGCATGTGAAATAACAGCCTCTGGGTTTAATGTGCACTTCCCAATTTACCAGGGAGGTTAAGCATCTTTTCATCTTTCTTATTATTTGCATCACAATTAAAGATGGTTTTTTAGCCATATATGTTTACATCTTTGGCCTTTTTGCTACTAAATGATTTTTTTTTCTTATTAAACTGCAATTCTCGAATACATTGTGGATACTAACTTTTTTTCATTACAATAAAACAATAAAAATATCTTCAACTGGTCCATGACTTAGTCTTCTAGGATGAGATACTATAAAGCTCAAAAACAACAGAAAACAACTATTTACTGATATACACATATGTGATCAAACTACATAGTAAGAAAAAGGGCATAATAAAACACAAACTTACAGATTGTGATTATCTCTCAGGAGAGGTTAACTAATGTGAGTGGAAAACAAATGTAATAATGGTAATGTTCATATTTTTAAGTTAGGTGGTAAATTCACAGGTGTTCATATTATTACCATTATAGCTTATATGTTACAAGCTTATATATATATATGTTATTTGTTAAACATTAAAAAAGGAAAGTCACCGGGCGCAGTGGCTCACGCCTGTAATCCTAGCACTCTGGGAGGCTGAGGCGGGCGGATTGCTCGAGGTCAGGAGTTCGAAACCAGCCTGAGCAAGAGCAAGACCCCGTCTCTACTATAAATAGAAAGAAATTAATTGGCCAACTAATATATATATATATATAAAAAACTAGCCGGGCATGGTGGCGCATGCCTGTAGTCCCAGCTACTCAGGAGGCTGAGGCAGCTGGATTGCTTGAGCCCAGGAGATTGAGGTTGCTGTGAGCGAGGCTGACGCCACGGCACTCACTCTAGCCTGGGCAACAAAGCGAGACTCTGTCTCAAAAAAAAAAAAAAAAAGAAAGTTATCTGTAGTGTGCAGTTATCTGTAGTGTGTATGTGCAGACACACATATGCACACTCATTCCCATCTGATAGATACAGTGCCTCCATTACATATGTCTAAGGAGATACTGAATGAATCAGGAAGGAAAGAAAAACAATCAAGAGAAAGAGAAAAGGAAGGAAGTATGGAAGGAAGGAAAGAAAGCATAAGAAGAAAGAATGCTAAGAATGGAAGGGAAAAGGGAAGGAAGGGGAAAAGAAATAAACAGAGAAAGAAAGGGAGAGGGAGGGAGTGAAGGAGGGAACTTTCTTTACTCCAGGGTCATAAAGATAATCTCCTATATTTTCTACTTGAAGTTTTACAGTTTTGCTTTTCACATTTAAGATTTACTATACCTGGAATTGACTTTTGTGTTCGGTATAAAAGAAGAGAATATGATTTTCCACCAGTATGGAAAACTAATCACCCCATCACCTTTTATTAAATACTTTGTTCTGGGCTGGGCGTGGTGGCTCATGCCTGTAATCCCAGCATTTTGGGGGCCGAAGTGGGAGGATCACTTGAGGCCAGGAGTTCAAGACCAGCCAAGATAATAGGAAAACCTCATCTCCACAAAAAATTTTAAATTTAGCCAGGCATGGTAGTATGTGCCTATAGTCCCAACTAATCATGAGGCTGAGATGGGAGGATGGCCTGAGCCCAGGAGATTGAGGTTGCAGTGCGCTATCACTGTACCACTGCACTCCAGCCTGAGCAACAGAGCAAGACCCTGTCTCCAAAACAAAAGAATGAATAAACAAATAAATACTTTGTCCTCTGTAATGCTACTTGTATCATATATTACATTGTCATATATGGTTGGTCTCTTTCTGGACTCTCTATTCTATGCCATTGTATTTGTTTATCTGTGTATCTATAACACAGTATTATTAGAGCTTTCAAAAAAATCTTGCTATCTGGCAGGGCAAATCCCTCTACTTTGTGCTTCAAATTTACCTTTTCTATTATTGGCCCTCTCTGTATAAATTTTTGAATCATCTTGTCAAATTCTACAGAAAATCCAACTAAAAGCTTTAATGTTACTGAGATTAATTTATATATTAACAGGATAAAAACTGACATTGTCAAGACACTGAGTCTTCCTATATATGAATATGAGATATATTTCCATTTTTAAGCATTCTTTAATGTTTTTCAATAAAACTTTATAGTTTTCTCCAAAGAGATAATTTACCATTATTCTAAAAGTATTCTGGGCCGGCCTATTCTGGTTCACACCTATAATCCTAGCATGCTGGGACGGTGAGGTGGGCAGATCATTTGAGCTCAGGAGTTCGAGACCAGCCTGAGCAGGAGTGAGACCCTGTTTCTACTATAAATAGAAAGAAATTAACTGGCCAACTAAAAATATATATAGAAAAAATTAGCTGGGCATAGTGGCACATGCCTGTAGTCCCAGCTACTCAGGAGGCTGTGGCAGAAGGATTGCTTGAGCCCAGAAGTTTGAGGTTGCTGTGAGTTAGGCTGACACTACGGCACTCACTCTAACCCAGGCAACAGAGTGAGACTCTGTCTCAAAACAACAACAACAAAAAAAACCCCTTTATGAATAAAATATTTGTTTGAATTTCTAATTATTTCCCTAGGATCAAGTCTTACAAGTTTGTTACTTATCTAGTTTGACCATAATACTGCCAGAAGTGGAAGTGCTATTATTAATTTCTAATTTTCCTGAATAATGGTCCCTAATTTTTTAAAAATTCAGAATGTTCTTTTTTATATCATCTCTTCATCATAGTAAAATAGAGTTCTTCTGTATATATTACCAGTGGGTCATAGTAATATAATTCACAAAATAATTTTATAAATCTGAAAAAGCTAATTAGCAGTTCTAGTCACAAGAACAAATCAGGAAGAAAATAATACCTAGATTAAAAAAAGTGAATTCTATCTTCCATTAGAATGTTTAATACTTAAAAACAGATCTATAAAAGGCATTATTTAGTAATTTTAAGTTAAATTTAATTATGAGAGTTCTAGTTGGCAACACATGGCTTGGCTTTATTTCTTGTTGCCAGAATGACAGCTGCTTAGTCCACCAACACACGTTTCAGGATGATCCCTGAAGGGCTAAAAAGTAGTTTCAAGTCACAAAATTTATTTAACTATCTGTTCAAGTTGTGTAACTCTAGGTCTATATGGGAGCTGCATGATCTTCCGCCAGACACCCAACTCTAAAAAAGGATATAAATCAGATCCTTAGCATAGTACATGGATTCTACAATAAATATTCAAAAAAAAGTGTTCTTTCTATTCAATAAAAATGCTAGTTACTTTAGAAAGCGTTTACAATTTTTTACCTGATCTTTTGATCTTCATCACAATCCTGTATCACAAATAAGAACTAATGTTCATTCACGTTTACATCTTACAGAGGAAGAAAATGAGGACAAGAGTGAAGTCTTTAACATGACCTCTTAAATGCATTAGCTTTCATCATTAACAGACTAGTGTTTCAAAAGGGAGTCCAATATTCATTATTCACAAGGCTCAGAATTCACTTACCTGGTATGCCCTAAAGATTCTCGCCATATTGGTAGCATCACAACGGGTTTTACTGCACACTCCAAAATAGCTAAAGCCAATGCAAATTCTCTTGGTTTACTACACATTTGAACTGCCTTGATCCAATTCGCCCTATATTTCAAAAGAAAGGAAAGAGATTATTTCACTTGGTTGACCTTAAATTAAATGTACAATTGTAGTTTATCATGACTCCATGTTACAGTACATATGTTTCTAGGCTAAGCATATTTAAATATAAATATACTGCCACTGTAAGTTTCTACCTCATAGAATCACAGATTTTAAACACTGAAAGGAATTCCAGAGCTCATTTAGTCCTTCAACTCCTTAAACTTTCTACAGAGTTTTAGAACTTTGGCCTCCACTTGATTCCAGGGATAGACTGCACAGAAGCTCACACCTGTAATCCCTCCCAGCACTTTGGGAGGATCACTTGAGGCCAAGAGTTCAAGACCAGCCTGGGAAACATACTGAGACCTGATCTCTCCAAAAAATAAAAGCCAGGTGACACAGCACACATCTAAAAGACTCTGCCCCTAGAAATGGCAGTATTGGTTCAGTAACTGAGATGTACACTCCTACCTCCAACCTCTTCACTGCTGATCAAACTGACTTCATTCAATTCATTGGTAATGATACTTTAAAGTATATAATTACAACAATAATTTTATAAATATTTAGTGTATCTTCAGCAATAAGTGAACCTTAGTTTCCTTTACCTGTGTGAAGCCCAATTGGGATGAAGAAAGGATGAAGGGATGTTGTTTTCTAGCTGGGTGATAGTCAGTCTCAGAGTGGATATGGTAAGAACTTTGGACCCATGGACAGAACCATTCCATTTGAACTCTCCTGCTGGAGTCAAACAGAATTTATGTGCAAGATGCCTTCTCTTATCATGATCTTCTCTGTGCTGGTGCTTATTCAAAGCAAATGAATTGGTAGAGTATTGATTGTGGTAGACGCGATACTTCCCTTCTTGACCCAATTTAAAATAATTGTTGATATTTCCTTTCATGACCACTTCCTTTTTCGTGCTCAACCGTGAAATTTCTCCTTGAGAGTTAACTACCAGTACCTGACCAAGAAAATAAAAGGACTCCATTATTTATGTCAAAGATGTATATTGTCTGATCAACTTTCTTTCAATAATTATAATTAATCATTCCAAATAAATCAAGATACATCTTATGATGGAACTTTTGAACTTTAAAAGCTAAGTTAAAAGCTAAAGCTAATTGTTTGCAATTAAACAACCAAGGTATGCCTATAAAAACAAAATTAAAATTAATTACCTATTATCTGTCAGATACTATTGACTACTTTCATGTATCTGAAATATACACATGAAACTATATGTATAAATCATTTACTTATCATCATTTCAAGTTTGTAACATATACTTCAGGGACAAAGGAGGGCATCACATGTACTAACCCTCCAAAAATATATTCCTAAAAATACCTTCTCTTCTGCTCCTTTTATCATTCCAGCTTTAGTATAAGAGCCCGTGGATGCTTTAAAATAGTGTTTTCAAACAGCTGACTCCAACCCTGTAGGGAACTATGAAATAGTGGGGTCTTATTCAGCTTTTTAAAAAATTAAATATATGGCCGGGCACGGCAGCTCACGCCTGTAATCCTAGCACTCTGGGAGACTCAGGAGGGTGGATCGCTCAAGGTCAGGAGTTCAAGACTAGCCTGAGCAAGAGCGAGACCCCGTTTCTACTATAAATAGAAAGAAATTAATTGGCCAACTAATATATATAGAAAAAATTAGCCGGGCATGGTGGCACATGCCTGTAATCCCAGCTACTCAGGAGGCTGAGTCAGAAGGATCGCTTGAGCCCACAAGTTTGAGGTTGCTGTGAGCTAGGCTGATGCCACGGCACTCTAGCCCAGGCAACAGAGTGAGACTCTGTCTCCAAAAAAAAAAAAAGAAGAAAAAAAAGAAATATAATAGACTAGACTAGAAGAGAAAATATCAGAATAATTCCCACATAGTAAGGTAAAACACTATTTCAGGAAGTTTTGGAATGTGTACCAGATTGCTATGAAAAACCGTGTATCTCACTGAGGGTCAGAGTCAAAAGGAAGCATGAGGACCAGCCACGGTAGCTCAGGCCTATAATCCTAGCACTGTGGGAGGCCAAGGCAAGAGGAATGCTTGAGCTCAGGAGTTTGAAACCAGCCTGAGCAAGATCGAGACCCCATCTGGACTAAAAACCAAAAAATCAGCTGGGCATTTGTGGCATGTGCCTGCAGTTCCAGCTACTCCGGAGACTGAGGCTTGAGCCCAGGAGTTTGGCGCCACTGTACTCTACCCAAGGTGGCAGAGAGAGACTTTGTCTGAGAAAAAAAAAAAAAAAGCAAGTATGAAAGCCACTGATTTACAGCAGCTACTGTGATATTAAGAACATGGCATATTCTTGCATATCTACCCTGCAATTAATTCTCAAATCTGGGCGACACAGTCATGGCCATTCTATCACCACAACAAGTGTGAGCAGAGATATTCACAGTGCTGGTTCTGATCATGGTCAGAGAGGGGATGCCATGCTGTCCTAGTCACTGAACTGTATCAAGGAGTAAGCCCCATCCTTTAACTGCAGATTTGCCTAAAGTGATCATACTTAGAACTGAGGGGTAAATCACCTATAGCTCTTTATTAGTCCCATAAATAGCCTACTCATTACCATATCATCCATTTATAGTATTTCTATGCATGTGGGTATGTCACTATACTTAACATAAGCCTAATACTTCTACTCTTGTTACCCACTACAGTTTTAGAAATGGAGAAAATACAGTTCAAAAGTAGGTCTACAAACTTCCCGCCCTTATTTTTAAGGTATGGTAATTACTTCACATTCCAGAGATTTTTATTTTCAACAGACAGAACACACCTCTTTGCCCTCTTTAAATAATTTATTTGCTTCATGGGCTGCAGCTGCCACCTGCTGGCTCTTCAGCTGACTAAGTTTGCTGTCTGGATTCCGCAATCTGGTGATAATTCGGGTTGAGCCAGAAGCTCCTCTTCCCGCTCCAGGAGACTCACTCATCTCCTCATTAGACTTCTCTGATTTGAACTCACCTATTATCAGTGAAAAAGGCACAAATTAATTGATGACAGTTAAGTAAATAATTGTAAAAACGACACCTTATTTTTTCAAAACCATTCCTGGAGTATATGATGCCCTTGAATAGCAAAGCAAATGTCATTAATTCTTAAGTCTTTTACTTAAAAGAAAATGTCAGAACTTTACTGTCAGTCATCTACTATTTCACAGAAAATTTAAACACACTAGATTATCTATTTCAAAGCTCATCTATTAGAAAGCAGTAAGGGCTGCTACAAATTTACAAGTAACAAACATATTAAGTCAAAATGCACCCTAAAAAATCTTGCCTTATATATTCGGTATGGATTTCTGTATAGAAAGGATATCATTAATTTTAGGAAGATTTCCACTGAAATTCTGTTTAAACACCTAATAGTTTTGAGCTTATAAATGTAAATGCCAAGTGAATTTTCCCCTAGGGAATCTAAATAATTATCTGTGTATGCTTATTAACATAAAAAATCAATAAACTAGGTTTTCAAAACACAATAAAGACCTCTCAACATTTTAATAGTAACTTAATTTTTTAAAGTAACAAACTGAACTGCCTAGGAGCAATTTCAGCTTTATACTCCAAATCTCACTTTTGCTGAAAATTTCTATACATGAAAAAAATTTCTGTACTTTGCATTGCTGTTCAATTTTCATTGACCAGTTACATAAGATCTGATTTTTCCTTTTTAACTTAAAGTTTAAAAAAATTAAAATATTACAGCAAATGAAAGGACAATTTACTATATTATTATATAATAATGATGGCATTTTAATTAAGTAGAGAAAAAAGCAGCATCGGGAAAACTGCCTATACATTTTTTTGGGGAAAAAAATGAAGACAATTTTGTAAACGTTTGTTAATTTTATCCATTTTACATTCCTCTTCTTTCCTGTGGGAAGATGCTTTTCCTCTACATTTCAATCATATGATTCTCCCAGGGCTGCAAAGAAAGTACCTTGCCTCCTTTAGGGTAAGCCACAGGACTTAGCTTGACCAGACAAAGCACACCATTAGCTGGCCACAGTGATGGTCCCAGCACTGGCTACATAGCCCAATCCTGTCAGCAACCTATTCCAGTTCTTTGGATGTGGAGACAGAGAATGGGTCTTCGCTTTTTGTATTAGTGAGCAGGAAAGGTATAAATTAAGAGTTGGCTACTTTTATTCCTAAAGCACAGAGAAAACTTTCAAGAACAGGAAACAAATCTATCAATAACATCAAACAATAAGCCCCATCACAGAGGAAAATAAGAGAAAAATATGAAAGGGGAAAACTGAGAAGATCATGATAGCCTCATTTAGCTCCCTGGATCCAATAATGCACTTGAGGCTGTCACCACTCTGGACTTCCCAATTGTATGAACCAGTAAAATTCCCTTTTTGTTTTAAGCAAGTGTGATGAAAGTCTATCAAAACCATTAAGTTCTAAATAATGCAATAGAGTATTTTAAGATTTTGGCTCCAAAATACGGCACTGACTAAATCAAGATGGAGTGGGAATACCGAATATTTTGCTACCCCAAGCTGGAAAACTAGTCACCTTTGATGTTTAGTAGCAAAGCAGTTATTCAAACTATCAATTTTCTCTTGGGTCTCAGATCATGAAGTTTTAGACTAAGATGCTGAACTATGGTAGCTTCTTCTTAGGACCATCTATAAAGTCCTATAATAAAGATTTTATAGATGTTGTTTGGTCTAGGTTGCATTTGCTGCAAACAAAGAGAATGGTACAGTGCTTTTTAAAGAAGCCCCTCAATTCAGAGCCAACAATCCAATATTGCTCAGAGTCAATCCTCCGCCACTTGCTAAATTTAAAGCAAATTACAGAAACAAAGAAAATTCATCCCCAGGGGCAAGACCTGAAGGTGCAGAGAAAGGGAACTAGGTTGAGAGTACAGGTCCTTACTGAACACTCTCTGCTCAAAGGCCACATTCCTCCTATAAAGGAGTGAATCACTGTAATGCAGCCTGGTGGCAGAGTACGGCTCTGCCCCAGCCTCTGCAGCTCATTGTTAACTGATGCCAGTAGGCAGAAGGCTAGACAAACTCTTCATCTGAGGGTTACAGCTATTGGTCTACCTACTAAGCAGACAAACTAGGAAACTAGAAGGGTTCACCTTCAGGGAGCCTGATGCAAGTTACTGAGCATTAGGTACTAGCTGGGTACCTAGGAAACTGTAAGGGAGTGCTACTGTCAGAGAAAATGCCAAACCTGCCGAATTAGGATGTATGATTGTTTAATCCTCCAGCAGTCCTCAGCAACCCACCACCAATAACAGCCAACAGGAACTAGGCTGCTAAAACAGAGTGGCCTCTAAAAGGGGAGTCTTCTCATATGCTTCTCACCTTTCACCATGGCCATCCTCCTGGCAAACCAACCACATCTAGATTTGTCAAAGAACACCCTCCACTATCAGGATAATGAGTGTTACTTACAGGCAGTTAAATTCAAAATGTGGCTCATGGATTGTGAGATTAAGATAAGCTACATCAAGACCTGTCAAAATTAATGCACAAAACACAGAAATCCTACATTTGGGTCTAGATACAATTATGATTTTTTTTCTTTTTTTTCCAACACATTTTATTTATCCATTTGCTGGACTTGTTCTCTGTGCCATAGTATAAGTGGGAAAGAGATTTTTGAAAACGTTTTCACTTGTGGTTGAGACCTTTGCGTTGTTAGGCAGAGGCATTTCTGAATTGTAAGTATGAAGAAAAATGTGAGTATACATGCATGTGCTGGGCTACCAAAGGGTGGAACTGTGGATATTAACTGTGTTCTTACCTTTGCAGCACCCCTCCTTCTTTAGGAAACCATTCCTACCCCACTCTAATCATACACTTTTGCTGGAGCCATCAACCATAATACCTTGCCTGCCCTGGCCACTGGAGTGGTAACAATATGATCCAAGATAGACCACTCAAATTCCTTCCTCAAGGACTTTGATTTGGAATAGGAGTAGAGGCCCTGCCTTTGGGTCGGAGACCTTGGAAAGACAAGAATACAAATTGCTGGTGCCATCTTGCCAGCCACTTGGGAAAAGCCTGTCTGTATTAGAAGAGAATGAAGTTAACACACAACATATGTAGATCACAAAGAAAGAGAGAAAGGATGACAGAAAGAGATTTGATACCTGGGAGTCCAATTATGTCTGATGAGGCCTGGATTTAGCAATTATATGAGTTAATTAAATTCCCTCTTCACATAAGCTAGTTTAAGTTGGTTTGGACAGCTGCAATTTTCAAAATCCTAATTAAAATAGATCTCTACCTTATACCATACCAAAAATATACTTTAACAGAGTAAAAACAAAGTTAAAGGAATATTATGAGAAATTACTATGAAATATATGCATATTCTTGGAATAGGGATGATCTTCCTTAATAAAACAAAAAAATCCAGAGAAGCCCTAAAGATTGGTAAATTTAACTATATAAAATGTAAAAATTTCTGTATGACAATAGAGAGTTTAAAACAACAAACAATTACTAAGTAATTACATATAAAATAGAGACTAATAACCATAAGAAAGCATTCCTAAAACTCATTAAAACATAACAAAACTCAATAGTAAAAACTGAACAAGAGTTATGAATAATCAATTCACAGAAAATTCAACACACACATGAAACTCAACCACATTAGTTAGCAGGGATATATACATTTTTAAATGAAGTACTTTTCACCATTGGCAAAACTGATGATGTTGAATTTAGGTGAGAGAATGGGTAAATAGGTACATAAACTATTGGTACAGATCCCTTTTGATGTACAATTAAGTAGCAAGCATTACTATTTCTTAAATGTACCTACCATTTAACCAGCAACTCCACTTACTGTTTCTATATTGCCAGAAATACTTGCACAAGTACCCACAGATATATGCTGAGGATATTAAAAAACAACACTACTTGTAATAATGAAAAAACTATTAACGGCCTAAAATGTTCATTAACAAAGAAACAGTAAATGAATTATGGTTCATCTGTATTGTGGAGTACCATGCAGCAGTTAAAAAGAATGAATTCAGTTTATAACATAAAAAGATTCCCTACATGTATTACTGAGTAAAAAAAAAAAAACAAAAAAAAAAAAAAAAAAAGGAAAAAAAAAAAAGCAAAAAGAACCCAATTAAAAAAAAAAAAAAAAAAAAAAACACCCAAAAACCTTTGAAACGTTTGTAAACATGCATATACCAATAAACTACAGAGATAAAGATCTAAAATGTTACACACCAAACCGGTGATGGTGGTTACTTTGGAGGAGGGGATATGAAAAGGATCTTCTATTTTTTTCCTTTGTGTGCATTTGTATTTTTTTAAACAAAAACAGTGAGTGCAAGTGCTACTTGTGTTTAAAAAAAAACAAAAAAAACACAGAAAATCCAAATTTTCCCACCCCCACCAAACTTTTATTTAAAAAAAAAAAATTAAAAACTAAAAAAAAAACAAAACAAAAAACAAAACAAACAAAAAAGGAAGCTCCCTTTAACGGATGAAGTGTATTCTTACCTATCTCTTCTTGAATAGAGACAGGTGTATGGGATTCTCTTTCTCCATTTTCAGGATCATCAGCTGCCTTAGCAGATTCACTCTGGGAAGAATTTAGTTCACTGCTGCTGTTACTGTTTTCCAGATTAGGCTGGATAGAGGTAGTGGTAGCACTAGTGTTACTGTTGTCACATGTCTTGTTAGGTTCTTCTAGAAAAATAGAATTATCTGATTTTTAAATTGGAAATCACATCAAAAATAACTAATTGTCAGAAAAGACATATTTAACTGTTTTAGGGTTTCATTACAAAGCTGTATTTTAAAAAGAAAGGCTGTTCATGTATGAATAATGTGATGTATGAAAAAGAACTGGTAAGCAACATCCTACACGTTATTTATCAAGTCTCACAGGCTAGGAACTCACTGACTGTGTAGTCTACAGTACAAGGCAGACATTCTTTCAGATACCCAAGAGCTGAAGAATAACCCAGTGATATAACTATCTCACAAACTTACAGTGCACCAGATATTGCAAAAGTGGTTTTGGTGAGATAATATCTCAAAATCTGAAGTTAATATTCTTACTTTTCAAAAGTATTCACACAGTATCAGAAACAAAATTAAACAGAATTATTTATCTCTACAGTTTTCTGCCTTAATTCTATGCCCCCAAATTAATTAGAAGGTAATGTCTAAATGTGACCATTAATTTTAAGGGAAATTTAATAGAATCACTAAAAGTATAGTTCATAAAGGTATATAAAAATTAACACTACCAAAAAAGGAAAGCTTAAGTCTTTCGTGGTAGTTCAGAAATTAAGTTCCTTTCCATTCATTTTTGCCACTAATAAGATACTTTCAAATCGTCTAAAGAAAAAGTGGTTGACAGTATTTCTAATGTATAATGTTGCATTTGAGGGAAAAAACCCAACAACTTGATAGACATATGGGAAAATATATGAATAGTCACAAAGAAATGAAAATGGCCTTTAAGCATATGGATATGGAAATATGCTCAACTTAAACTAAGAGGAATGCAATGTAAAACTATATGGCGGAACTAATACTCAGCTATCAGATTGGCAAAAATTCAAGTCTCGCAATAAACTAAGGTTGAGAGGGTTAGCAGGCACTTGCACACAATGCTGTGGAAATGCAAAATGGTAAAAAGTAGATAAAAGGGAACTGACAATATCTAGAAAAATAACATATACATTTATTTAATGTAACAATCCCATGTCTAGAAATCTATCCCAAAATACTGAATTACAAATATATAGAGCTATTCACTGAAACATTATTAATAATAGTAAAAGACCAGTAACAAACAAAATGTCCACCAATAAGGCACTGGTTAAATAAAAGACGGTACATATAATGAAATATCATGCACCATAGCAAGGATTGAGAATAATCACTATGTTCACATGTGAAATGACCTCCAAGATTAAACGTAAAAAGAAAGGTTCAGAACAATACTTATAGTGTTAACTTTCATGTGAGAAGGGGAGAAAAAATATGAATTTATGGGTATATTTTACTTTATGAAAAACAAAACACTGGAAGAATAACCAAAAACTAATAAAAATGGCTGCCAATAAGGGAAGAGAAAGACATGGCTACTTAGGGAATGAATGGAAGTGAAAATTCTCTGAATATCTTGTTACATAGTTTTAACTTTCCAATAAGGTAAATGTCTATATTTTCAAAAAATTAAAGTTACAAATGCAATACCTAAAAATTGAAAACAATTGAAACAAACAAGTAATTGTATATTAAGTTGTGCATAACCACAGAGGCCAGAATTATTTCAAGTGACTTTGGAATACAGTATTTTCACTGTAGATCCTTACTAGAAAAATACTATAAGAGGCCGGGAGCGTTGGCTCACCCCTGTAATCCTAGCACTCTGGGAGGCCAATGCAGGTGGATCACTCAAGGTCAGGAGTTCAAAATCAGCCTTAGCAAGAGTGAGACCCCCGTCTCTACTAAAAAAATAGAAAGAAATTAATTGGTCAACTAAAAATATATAGAAAAAATTGGCCATGGCCGGGCACAGTGGCTCACGCCTGTAATCCTAGCACTCTGGGAGGGCAAGGTGGGCAGATCGCTTGAGGTCAGGAGTTCAAAACCAGCCTGAGCAAGAGCAAGGCCCCGTCTCTACTATAAATAGAAAGAAATTAATTGGCCAACTAATATATAGAGAAAAAATTACCCGGGCATGGTGGCGCATGCCTGTAGTCCCAGCTACTTGGGAGGCTGAGGCAGAAGGATCGCTTAAGCCCAGGAGTTTGAGGTTGCTGTGAGCTAGGCTGACGCCACGGCACTCACTCCAGACAGGGCAACAAAGTGAGACTCTATCTCGGGGGAAGGGGGGGGGGAATTGGCCAGGCATGGTGGCACATGCCTGTAGTACCAGCTACTCGGGAGCCTGAGGCAGAAGGATTGCTTGAGCCCAGGAGTTTGAGGTTGCTGTGAGCTAGGCTGACATAACACCACGGCACTCTAGCCCGGGCAACAGAGTGAAACTCTGTCTCAGAAAAAAAAAAAAGGAGGAGGAGGAGGAGGAAAGAAAGAAATATAGTATAAGGACAAATAAAGAACTGCAAAAAAAAATCTTAAATGCTATTCAGTAGTCTTACTGTTAGCAGTAATATTGGTATTATGAAAATATTGCTACATATAAAACCATTTATTATTATTAATGCACATTAGGATATGAATATCCTCTATCAAGATAAAGCAAATGCATAACTGAGTTATTGTTGTTAGAAACTAAGGCTTCCAGTGTAAGATAAAGAGATACAAGTGTAAAAACAAACTATGTATGCAATCCTCAATTGGAATTTGAAATGTCAATACAAACTGATCCTTCTTTTAAAAAATACATATTTCTTAACACTACCCACCAAAAAAGCCAAGCGGCAGTGAGAGCCCAATAGAAATAAATACCCCTGGGCCCAGACTGTGGTCTCTAAATGTCATTCCCCCCTAAAAGGAACTGGGATTTCCTAGAGGAAAGAATGATTCCAAATCGGGGGTAGGAAATGTGCAACATAAGTCTCAGACACCTTATTATGCCAAAAAGCAAGGAAGTCCTTGACAGAGTACTGGAGTTATAGCAAAAGGACTCAAAAGGCCAACATGAAGGGGCCCCCAAGGGTCATGAGAAGCAAAATAAATGATAACTGCAACTGACTGAAACAAACTGAATGTATAAACACTACTGAGTTCAAGCTGATACTCAGAGAAAGCCACACTTTCCTCCAAAAGTCCACAACTCATCAATCATCATTGAAGACAACTAGGCCACCAACTGATTCCGAAAATCAGAATTTAAGAGAAATAACGAGGCATTTCTTCTACCATCCCTGCTCTAACTATATTTCAGGGTATTCAAATCATCTCAGTTAATGAGGGAAAAATTTTTACAGAAGAATTCCAGTTAAAACAATAAATGATAGAATCTCCATATTATAGCCTCCAAACAGTAAATGATTTTGGAAAGATGACCAATGAATGAGAGGTTAACAGAGAACCTTACAATCTCACCACCTGAACTCACTGATCAATCTCAGCATTTCTAAAGGTAGAACAGGTAGATGTCGTGAGACTTTTGATGTGATACGGTGTGAGTTATCCAGCACATAGCTCATGAAGTAGTCTTGCCAAAAACAGTTAAAGCTGAATCTAATCAAGCCTTCAGAAGAAACTAAGCAACGCCATAAGGAAGAAAACAGACAAATTCTGAATATGGAACATTCCACAGGAAGACGACTAGGATTCTTCCACAATCCAACAATATACGGGGAAAAAAACAGTCTGGGAAGGGGAGAGTGCTCTACACTAAGAGACTCAAAAGCTATAAAACCACATGCCATGTCACGTGTAGATCTTATCTGGAGTTATTTCAAACACACCAAGTACTTTCTAAAATAAAAAAAATTAAAAAAGACATTTTAAAGTAAAGAAATTTGAATATGGTCTCGATATTAGGAGATATAAAGGAACTGTGAATTTTATTAAAATGATGGCACTGTAATTACTTAAGAAAATATTCACATTCTTTTAATTTTTTAGAGGCTTATGTAGGTTTGATATAATACGATGTCTGGGATTTTAAAAAATATCTCAGTAGGAAACAATCCAAATTCACATCAGTAGGAAAGGGGATAAACTGTGGTACAGTCACACAGAGGAACATTACAACATAATGAATAAAAAGAACTCCAGCAACATATACATTAGTAATGTAATAAAATGAAAAATTTAAGTTCCAAAAAGTTACATTTAACACAATACCTTCGCTATAAAGTTTTTTAAAAACTAGAACAGAAATATTAACATATAATTTTTAGCAAATAATATACACCAACTCAATGAGGCAAGAGTATGAGGGTCCTGGGAGGCCAAGGCAGGCAGATTGCTCGAGGTCAGGAGTTCAAAACCAGCCTGACCATGAGTGAGACCCCGTCTCTACTACAAATAGAAAGAAATTAACTGGCCAACTAATATATACAGAAAAAGTTAGCCAGGCATGGTGGCGCATGCCTGTAGTCCCAGCTACTCGGGAGGCTGAGGCAGAAAGATTGCTTGAGCCCAGGAGTTTGAGGTTGCTGTGAGCTAGGCTGACAGCACGGCACTTACTCTAACCTGGGCAACAAAGCAAGACTGTCACAAAAAAAAAAAAAAAAAAAAAAAAAGAGTATGAGGGTTACACATCACTTTGACTTCCAGTATAAACAGTCTCAATTCTACAGAGTTTCCCTTATAAAATATGGAAAGGACATATTAGTGAACACAGGATTCAGGATAACAGTCACTTCAGGTAGTGGGGGAGGGGCAAGGGGATGAGCTTGGGGAGTTGGACACAGGTTAGTTTATAAATTAGAGTTAGATTTTTGTTTTGGGTGATAAGTTCCTAGGTGTTTATTTCATTTTTAAAGATGAAAGTTTTATATGGCAGATAGAAATGACAAATTTAAAATCTGACAGCCACCAAAGAGTAATATGATTAACTTACCCACGTTGGAAAAATGCATAAATTTGGAAGAAAACAGATGTCTCACACAAATAACATCAAATTTCTTACTCATTATTCCTTTTACAGCTATAACAGATCTAGACTTGTAAAGTACAGTATTCCTAATTCATAATGGTCTAAAAATCATCTTCTGAAATAATGAAATAATATATATAGATAGCCCTCA